GGCGCAAGGAGGTCAAAGCAGGTGTGGAGGTACTTTTGAATATGGAAAAACATGTGAACAACCCGTGTTGAATACAGATGACTGGTGTATGGATGTGTGTCTAATTCGAGTAAATTTATTTCATTTGTTCGGTCAAGTGTATTTTTTTCGAAAATGAAGAAAAGTGTGTCTGAAGTTTCCCAAAAATGATGGGAAGTTGTTCTCATTTTTGAAAGGTTTGAGGCGGTACTATGCCCTCACTCTCGCCAATGTCACTCCTATATCTATCTTCGTGATTATTGACATTGAATAGGTTTAAAAATTGCATAAATAATTATTTGCAAATATATAAATGAATGACAGGAAAAAATCTCTTTCACTTGATACTAGGATTAAATCAACTTAAGTCTTTTGTTTCTTGTTTTGTTGCTGTAGTTATTTAGCAAATGCAACTTTTCTTTTCTTTTGAGTAGTTATTAAATAATGAACTGCACCGAACTCCAAAATTCAATTACGATTCCAACGAAGTGGCTAAAATTTTTTTTTCGGAGTCAATCTCGGAATTATACCCGTAAAACAGTCAGGGTTTTTTACTTCTGCCTAGCCGTAACTTTCTTATTGATATTTTTTTGACTAATGAAAAATTATAACTACTATTTTTAGCATTATGAATAAGTTTCAAGAAATGTTAGTAACATTAGAGAGATTCATGCTTACAAATAGCAAAAAAGCGTTTTTTTCTGAAAACGTTTTTGGTCATTTTGTTTCTGTGGTTTCTGAAAACCTATCACCAAGAATAATGAATTCTACAGTAATATACGATGTTCACTATTTACTGATTTCACTATTTACTGATTCGTTTAATTATTCATTTGCAATAATTTTACGCATCAAAATGATATTAATGTCGCCAAAATGCAAAAAAACCTTCGGGGCTGGAGTCTAAAATTTTTTTGTTTGGATTAGACGAGAAATGTTTTGGGAAATTTCATAGTAGGAGTCGCGTTTTAGATCCCACAATTTTGGCATCGCAGTTCACTATCATGAAGACTTCTGTAAGTTTCGATCACTTCTTACCTATGAATTTATTTCTCTTATCATCACCATCAATTAATATTATACTGTCGTTACATGCTATCAGTTTTATTGTGGAAGCTAATGGTAATTTATACAGAAGAGTGTGTATATTTTCTGACTGAAATATGATTCGCTTCAGAATAATCTTTACTTTTTCGAAATATATAGGAAATATAGGACAAATACCTACAAAGGAGGACATTATAGGATTATTTCTAAAGATATAGGAAATATAGGAAATATAGGACGACTACGAGGCCTGTGTGTAGGTATGGGTGTAGCTGCTCACGTATCTAGAAGTACATGTGTGAGTGTGGGTATTGTTTTCACACAGACTCGCATCTCTTGTGAGCTTATGTCGGAAGTGACCTACCTTGACTTTTCGATATTACGAAGAAGATGTTCGTCTTGGAAAATCTTCAAAGTTCTGATTTGTGAACCCTATCATGGAGGATATTGTGGGCGGCACTTCACAGAAATCTCATTTCACGCGCCTTTCGTCGTAATTGAATCTTCTTGGTTGTTATCAAATATGTGGATGTGAGTTGAATGTAGAGTGAGCATAGGATTGGTTTGAGTGAAGGAAGAACGATACCGACATCGAAACTCACTCTTATGAATTATAAATATTGATCAGTTTAGCTCGTTCTGTCTTCATATCACAGGTTATATATTCATAAATAGAGTCCTTTCCTTGTTCTGTATTGCTACTCGTCCCAATAATGAATGTTATATATGAAAAGCCTTGGATAAATTTGGTTTTTAATAAAAATCTAACAATATTCTTTGCAGCAATGTTATGCTCACTGAGATCTTGCTTGCATTCTACTGCACCTCAAATTCATTATTGACATTGATTTCACTAATATGCGACTGTTTTTGGCGTTCCTGTTTCCCATCATTTGAGCATTCTATCCTGAAATGTATCACCTATTCTAGTGGTTTCAATGATGCTCCATTAACATGTAGAGTATTCTTATAGGATCTCCTCGAGAGAGCCAGTGATTCTATTTTCTTTGTACTGATCAACACACCTGGAAACGAACAGTTCACTTCATATTGACTTAGACAACGTTAGAATCAACATCAGAATATATCAACTGAGTGATGCCATTTGAAGAAAAGAAAGTGTCAATTTTCCTATCGTCAATTTTTACATAGGGAGGCGTAAAGTTCGCGGATAGTTTTGTTCAACAAGCTATGAATCGAAGTGAATATAGCTCAAACTTCTGTTCGAAGTGGACGAGCATCCAACGTCAGTGCGAAATGGCACAGTCTATCTTCGCATTATTTCCATAATCATTTTAGTTTAGTGGATTGCTATCAGTAAATCACCGCCGACAGCTTAGTCATGTTAGACTCTCAAAAGAAAGTCTCGATAAATTTGGCCATGAGCCTTCTCCAAGTCTATAAATGCGATATATGCTAAGCAGAGCGCGAAACCGAATCGAATAGGCAAATGATTCGATTCGATTCGATTTGTCTCAGCCACATCGAATCGAATTCCAATGGACTTTTTAAGAAACTGAGTCGAATTGAATTGAATCAAATTTTCGAAAAAGTGGGTCGAATCGAATCGATTGAAGGTTTGTAGAAGGTAGTCCGAATCGAATGGAACATTTCTTTAGTAGAGTCGAATCGAACCAAGTTTGAAACGCCTTATTTGGCTTCTTTTTTCGCTTGATCATGTAATAATGTAACACGTTAGTGATGATTTGTTTACGAGCCATTTCACTTAAGCCACGACCTATCCTGCTCAATCAATTTGTTCGAATTTTAATTTCACATACATATTTCAAAAGTGTACCAATTACTGAGTGTTTTGCCACTTACGGTAAGTGTCATTTTCTCGTTCTGTTGATGTCGCTCATGACTCACGTGAAAGAAAGAGTGTTGGTGTACGAATACATGTGTTGTAGAAGTTTCAGAGTAGGAGTGCGTTGGGTTTGAAGATGTTCTCTTTATGCTCATCCTCAACCAGCTCTCTCTTGGCAAAGTCAAACCACACGCACACTCTCAAGTCAATAGTTAGAAGTTTCGAAATGGTAGTCCGTCAATATCGTGATTTAATGTCGTTTACCGATATTGACGATTACCGTGGCAATCACAACTTTTGTTGTGGACTTATCTCTGTTGGTCAAATAAGCTGATCTTATGCTATGACCAAATAAAAGCAAATATGGATCACTGAAAGAATCATGAAGGGTGATTATGTCTTGGAGGCAACGGCATCACAATATTCTGGACATTATTTCAAACTATCCAACGCAGGCTAGTATCGATCTCAGCAATTTGATGCAGAAAGATAGATTTATCAATGTAAGGTCGATGGCAGCAACAGCTATATAAACATGAAAGTATCGTCCATTCATCAAATAGCAGCAAAAATCGATGACCAGTTAGCGTCATATAGTGGATGGGTCCACAACAATCACTGACGCATTCATTCGATACCCATTGGTTCAATACTTGTTCATCAGAAACTAAACTGAAACTGTTGTGCAAATCAGTAGCATTAGTTTGTTTTGTCACTGTGATCCTTAAAAGAAACAAATCCAAATGATTAGTCATCTTCAATTTGAAAACGATAATCTTTTCGATTTTTGAAATCCACATTTTTGAGCTCTTTCGAAGAAATGAACAGATAACTCTTACTTATCAGGTATCTTGAGAAGTACTATATCTATCGGGAACAGAAGTCCAGTTTACTCATAATCACAGATCTATAAATCTTAAAGACGATGAACTCATTGTGTAATTAAGGACCACATCAACATCTATATTAAATGATTGTAAGAAAATATACGATTGCAGCTATCTCTATCTTTTTCACGAATTTCTCAAACTGAGGGATTGAAGCTCAAATTGTTATTTTGATATCATATAGACCTTGCTAATCGATACTAATCAAAGTATCATATAAAAGTGAAATATCATTCTCCAACCTAGCCATCATTCAGATAGTTTAAAACACTTAGTTCTATCCATACTTATTGAATTGATTTCATATTTCTCCAATGTCCTATTTCGACTTCCTATGTAAAATACATGCGCTATAGAATTTTGAAAAAAATAATTATTATGCAAATATGAGTGGTGATATTCTACAGAATCGATGATGATAAGCTGATTGATAAAACCTTTGTTAATTGAAATGAAGCCCTAGTCTCAATAAACCTAACGTAAATTGAAAAAATTATTATTAATACATACATCCTTTGTTGAATATGAAGACCTTTCACTTGCTGCTTTTATTTTGTCAGCTGTACCCAGTCACCAAATGAAAATACTTTATTTCATAGTGTTTTGAAAGAAAAAAAGCAATGTAATATAGTGTTCAAGTCATCGTCTTCAGGATGGCATCCAACACTGAAAAAAAATGTGATAATAACCTACGACACTCGAATGACAGAAAAATTGCAACGCGGTTGTTGATATAAGTCAAAAGAGGACGAACACATACTCTCACAATGCACAAATCTATCAATTTTCTGAAACAAGAAGCAAATCTTGAAGTCTACCCTAGCCAACGATATATGAATCAAGAACGGACTTCAACTTATCCAAGCGTCTGGATCCGACCGCCTGTATTTTCGGAGAGCCGATGTTCCTCAAAGCCATTTAAATTCTTGGAGGAAAGTATCGATTAGACAGTTTTTACAAGCTGACAATATTCATTATTTTGCCGTGATTCTTCTTCAAAAAAGTGTCATCCATCACCCCTCAAAACATTCCTTTGAATGTTCCTACCAGTTTTCTCAATAAGATTTTATTTTCAATCGTAAACCATTATTTAATTAATTATGCGATTTATTTACGTAAAATACTTCAATAGATGCACTGAGAAAATAATCTTTATAGAGGAAAAATGCTTGTATTTCAATAAAACAACAAAAAAATACAACAATTATATCACTGTTCATAGTACAGAATGATTTTGATTTTTAACGTCGTGCACTATTTATACTACGACTTGTATGTAAATCTCCATATCCAATACGAGACATAGTTGATGTTGATGATGTATTATTGTCATAAGTACCACCACTGCTAGGTATTGTTTTCCTATAAATCTAAATTAATTTTTCAAACAGATCATTTTGAACTTACTTTTTTTTCTTGCGTTTTTCAGGTGGAATATTACTGTAATAAAAATTGAATGAAATTAATATTTAAAACAAAAAAGAAAAAGAATTTATTTATCTACTTGGCATCTAATTCAATATATTCTTCTTCTCTCATTGCATTTTCAATAGTTGCTTTAATCATTGGTGAAACCATTGGGCCTTCATAATCACGAGTTGTTCGACTAGGAAAATCAAGTTGTAGTAAAATAATATTTTCACCCTAAAATTATTCTTTAATCATATTAATTTAGAAAAAAACAAAAATGAGTACTTTAAAATAAGCTATTTCAGGAATCGAATTAGACTGTGAATGTAAAGCTATTGGACGCCGATCACCACGAGCTAATATCGGACGAGCAGCCATTTGATCTCTACAATAATTGTATTCTATGTATATATATATCTTCGGTTTTTTTATAATTAAGTTTACGTTTGTTTTGATAATTCTTTCAGTGTCCATTGATTATGTTGATCATCAAATTGAACTCTTTTTAATAATCGGTCACATTCATCAATAGGAATAAAATTTTTAATGATAAGTTGAAATAATTTGGCTTGCTTTTGAATTTCGCGCTGTTCAGCTTCAAGTTCTTCACGTGCTGTTCGATGTTTTTCAACAATCTCAAGTTTTTTAGCTTCAAGTTTTTTTAATTGCTTAGATAATTTCTCTTTTTTAGCACGTTTATCTTCAACTTCTTCTTTTACATTTGTATATTTTTCATTCATTGTTTGTCGTTCTTCTTCACCTTGTTCTAATTTTTGTTGAACCTCACGATGACGACGCTCAGCTTCAGCAATTAAACGTCTGAAAAAAAAATTCTATAAACAAAACAAAAAACTATTAAAAATAAAACCGTTTTTGTCGTAGTGTTTCTTCTTGTTCACTTGTATGTGTAACAATATCTTTTCCACCAGTAATTAATTTTGATTCCATTTGTTGAATTTTATTTTGCATTTCACGACGTTCGTCTTGTTCACGTTGAATTTCTTGTTGTTTTTCTTCTAATTCTCTAAGCATGATTTCTCGTTCGGTTTCTAAATAACACTTCTTTATTGAAAATAAATGAAAAATTCAATTTACCATTTAAATTTTTTTTCTGAAAAATTGATCTTTTTTCTTCATTGAGTTTGTCTTGTTGTTCTTTGAGATATAATTCTTCATCATTTTGGTCACTATAATTACTTTCATCATTATCAGCTTCATCGTGATTTCTATGTCGACGTGATGTTTTACCACTTTTAGTTCTTCCATCAAGTTGTTCTTTTAATCGAGCTATTTCTTCTTGAAATTTTCGTAATAAAGCATCTTTAGGGTCTTCATTTATACGTGGTTGGTTCTTTATATTTTTAGCTCGATTAGCATAACTACAATTAATGTAAAACCATAAGAAGGAAATTATTCATCTGGATAATAAAATAATGCATAATAATCAACGCGAACGTTTTATTTTCAGCTTAATTAGAGATGGAATAAGAAAGCGGAAGAATATTCATGCCCTTCGGTCATATTGTGGTGTGGGATATTGCTTAGCGGCTGCTAGATTGACACGATATCTACTCTACAATTAATACTAGCTATAGTTCTGGAGAGAAGGCCGATTTGATGCAGATTTCGTGCGTTCAATCGCTTAAGCTTTCCGTACACACTAACTGACCATAAGGGCAGGTGTATGTGACAACTTCGCCACCATGCTATCGGATAGATGATCCGAGACGAAATTTCATGGCTGATCGTACCGCAGTCTTAACACGGTATCTATTGGATATGTGTAAAACAGCGCAGCTATTCACCCATGACTTCTTGATTAAAGATGAATTATGCTAAAGTTCGACAAATTGAAGAGGTGAAAGAGAGATAGATCGTCTTGTCAACATCTGTTACTCTTGTCTATTGTATTCTTGACTCTTTGAATATGAATAAGTCTTGTTGAAGTTGGTCTAAGGCAAATTAGATTTATTCTGCTACTATTGTTGCGTCAAAACGTTTCCTTAAAAATACGTCTTCAGCTTTCATATTAACTAATATTAAAAAAATATCACTAATGTATTTCTTTTATAGCTATTGATTTATTATACTTGAACAGAGCAAAATGAAAGTCATAATAAATAAAAACAAACATCATAGCAAGTTTTTTTTTGAAAACAATCATTATTACAATTCTTCATAGGAGATAATTTAGTACGTTCATAAATTTCATTTTGTAAAATATATACTTTTTATTAAACAACAGGAAAACGAAGATTAGTATAAAGATAATCTAAATTAGTATTTTTTGAATCCTTTGACGACAAGAAATAAGTACATATACGTTTTGAACTTTTACGTAGTTTATAACTTGTCCGATAATGTCCATTTTCAATAGATCATAAGAAAGCTAGTATTCTTTCTCTTTTCTTTATATTACTATATAGTATTACAGCATCATCGTGTAGTACCATTAGGCGTGTATATAAGGGAAAACAAGGAATTCTGAATCTAATAGTACTCAGCAATCTATAGAACTTCTACGCCCAGAGTATTTTAGAATGCCAGAAAGCGAAACAGAATTTCATAAAGCAGCATGAAATCTTGGAATCATTGTTGTCCAATGAAGTTACATCTACTGCTAACGTTTTAGTGTTACAAATCATGAAGTGTTAGATTTTAGTCGACCTGTATTATAATAAAAATCCATTGTTGCTCTTAACTTCTTCGCTCTATTTCAAGTTTTTTATGAGAAAAAACAAACTTCATTGCCAAACGGTTAATATTTAGCGTTAATCATGTTAAACAAGAATGTTAACAAAAGCATTAATATAATTAAGATTACTTTGTAAGACTCAGAAAGAAAACAGTCGAATAACCTATTTATTTAATAACTATAAATAATCTATAATATTTTTTTTTAAATTTAATTAATTACCGAAGTGTTGTAAGAGATTCTTCATAATTATAATCGGCTGGTCCAAGTGTTGCAATCATAATTGTCTTAGAATTGCCACCAAGTGAATCTAGAAAAAAATTTTTCTCTTTTTGTTAAATAATTTCTTTGAAAAATATTTACTTTGTAACAATCGAGTTAATTTTGAATCACGATAAGGTATATGTGAACTACCATCAACAAGTGCAGAAATAACATTACCAAGTACAGAAAGAGATAAATTTATATTTGTTGCTTCTTTAAAACGTTCACCCTAAATTTATTGAAGATAAATAGATCTTTAATTATTTTTTTTGTTCTTGTAATCAAAAGCTTACAGTTGATCCTGTTTTTGCTTGACGTTCACTTCCAGCTAAATCAACAAGATTAAGTTTTCCAACACGAATATGTGCTTTTCCATCCACACCAATCTAAATTATTCAAATTTTAATTTTTACAATGAATTTTTTTTATTATTATTACCTCACTACTTTCTACAGTAATAATAAAAATAGCATGCGACCGTGAACTATGTTCATTCATATTTGTTGCTCTAGTTAGTTTAAAAGTGCTTTTTTTAAATAAAGTGAATGTAAAATATACCCTGTTGAACGATTTAAATTTCCTGTTGTCATAACATGTTCAATTTCTTGTATATTTTTTGTAATAAATGAACTAAGATCATGTACATGAACACCTTCTTTAGGATGTTCTTGTAATTGTAAACGTTTATTTTGATCTCTTGATAAAAGATCACGAATACTTTCCTAAAAATTTTACTTTTTAAAATAAAATTTAAAAAATAAATATATATTTACGTTATAAATTTCAAGATAAGAAGCTCGTACAAGAAATTGTCTTGATGTAGTATGTGAAATTGAATCAAATATATGTGCAAATGATGATGGAATTATTCCACGTAATTCCACTTGAGAACGAACACCTATTGAATTAATTGAATCAAAATTAAACTTATTTCTAATAATTTTATTTTTACCTTCCATAGTAAATGTTTTACCAGTACCAGTTTGTCCATAGGCAAATATTGTGCCATTAAAACCTTCAAGTACTGAATCAACAAGTGGTCGTGCTGTTTGATCATAAACATCTTTTTGTTGTGAACTGAATTCATTTTAATTCCAGAGGAAATTATTGACAAAAAAAAAAGAACTTACTTCCAATCATAAACAGAATCAAAAAAGAAGGCATGTACAGTATCATCAGTATTACGTTGAGAAAATTCAACAGTTGATCGTCGAATAGATATTTGTCGACGTTGCCCATCGATATCAACAACTCTAATTCAATAAAATAAAGAATAGGCTTTAAGAAAACAAAATTAAATGAAACCTTTCACAACCAGATTCTTGTTCTTGATCACTCATCGGACGACATCGGACAACGACTCGAACCGATTCATCTTTACCTTTGTTTGATGCAGTTGTCGTACGAGGCTAAACAATTTATTTAAGACATATAAAAGATAGCAAAAAAAAGGCTAAACTAGTTTTACCATTATTCCAAAGTACGATGCAAAAAAAAGGATATTTTTTGCGTATTATAAAACACCTGTTTACTCATCCTTAACTACTGCATCGCAAGTAACCAAGGATTTTTCATTGGTTCTATTTTCCAACGAATACTTATGTTCATTATTGATAAATATGAGAAAAGTTTCCATGAGAAATCTTTAATTTTACTTGATGAATTTACACCATTCCAAAAGCATAGAATAAAAAAGAAATTTAAGAAGTCTTTAACAGTTCACTAATACTATCATAATTATTATTGTTTATCAACAACATTATTTGAATCTATATCTTTTTTTGTTAACCCATTTACATCAAGATAAATAAAAAATAACTCTTTGAGTTTACATTCTCATGTTGACGTTTGATTAAAGAAATATTTTGTAGTTGCAAATGCAGTTAGATAAATAATTCATGTGCTTGACAAAAACTTTCGTTAGGATTTAATTACATATGTTCTATTGATCTTGTTCATGAAAAAATAAAACGGCATTTATTAGAATATTGTACAGACACTTCGTCTGTCATATGTGCATGTAACATATAGAGATTCTTCGATTTCGTCTTATTACTCATGTTAGAATATATGTCAATCTATACCATGTTTGTTCAGATAGTTTTTCTGTCTGAAAATTTCGCTTTTGGCATCGGGTTACATAGCATTTTGATGGAATATTCTTTGAAGATCAAGTTGTAGAATTGAGACATTGTTTTATTTGAAGCAAAACTGTTTATCAGTTCGAATGAGAGCAAAGAATTTGTCTTCTTGCAACTTTCTTAAATTTTAAGAAGCATCAAAAGCTCCGAAAATCTTAGACTATCAAAGGCAATTTTCCAGAAAACGATATTTTCTACAGAAATAGTGCCTGATAAAAACCTTTTCTTTGCATCCAAATAAATATTAAATGACCAATTAATAAAAGACACAGTAGTTTCCTGCAACAAATCACATTGAAAAAGGATTTAAGTGAAAATTAAGCACTAACACAGACTACTTTCGAGAAAACATTATATACCTATCGTTGGAAATTAACATGAAATATGACGATATCATATATTAATTACTAAAATTAATCAAGATCCATTGTACTGTATACCTAGCGACACCTACAATATGTAGCAAATAGAGTTGCGTACAAGATTCTGTGAGATCTTTATCCCATTTGTACTTTAATTGTATAATTTTATCTATATCGCAATCCCATGTGTCTCTATGCAACAACGTCACGCTATATGTAGAGTGATAACAAGCGTTGGAAAACTCCTAATGAAAAATCCCACAAATGATGAGCAAATGAAGGCAATATCCATCCAACAACACGAAAAAAAGAAGAATAGAACGAAAGAGAAAATTTCAAAATATATGAAATAAAAGAAAAAATCCATGATGCATGACTAACAACAAGAGAAAAGAAGAACATAAATGCATATGTATAACCATTGAGATAGAGAGGGAAAATTTCTTATGACTGCATCTAAAGAAGATGCAGGGTCATAACAGTTTCTTTCTCAGTTTTTACGGATATTTGCTTAACGATATTGACATGGAGACTTTAAAGACTTCTAGTAGATCTGTTTCAAATTTGTTAAAACTAAAAACTTTTCTTAATGAATATTTAAAACAGACAACTTAAGGCACATCTCTGTATGTTCACAAAAAAGAAATTTTTTTTGGCATACACTTGATTTATGGAGGTGGGAGACTCGTTTAATATATTCAATTATATTTATATGACAGATATATAATTTAAACAAGAAAAATAATTTATAAAAGATCATATCAATCTTTTATTGATATTACATGATCGCTCAAAAACAAAAATCTTGATTAGAAACGTATTGATTAATATGTACTTGTAACTAATCTAATACCATTTCTCATTGTTGTTGTTGTTGTTGAGTAGTATTCAATTCTTCAACTTTAATATCATGTGGTTGACAATTTGCATCGATTGATTGCATTTGTTCTCGATCAGCAAATTCATATAAACATGTTCCAAGACCATATGTTAACGGTTGAATATAATCAAAAAAGAATGCATTAATTTGTGCCCCAATAACGAAGAATAAACCAAATAAATAAAACAAAAGTAATACTATTATTATAAAACCTAATTGACCAACATAATCAGTCATATACTTATGCACATACCATGGAAAAATTAAAAGAACTAGTTGTAGACCTATAGATGCCAATAAAGCACCGCACCATCTAAACAAAATCAATATAATTTATTTGAAAAAAAATTAATTATTTCTACATACGTATGTTTCCAATTCATTTTGCGTTTAGGTACAATGATATAAATTAATTGAAAAAATATAAATGAAAATATCCCACTAAAAACAGTTGTTAAAAATTGATAAAATGATTCATGTTCTTGCATAATAGCTGGCATTGATGAACATATAATAATGAATGGCATTATAGTTATAAATGCTAAAATCATTTTAATTGCAAGAATATTTTGATTAATTATTGTTCTTTCACGTATACGATATATTATTGTTAATACATCATCAAGTCCAATAAATAAACGTGAACCAGTAAATATTGATACAATAAAACTGATTATAAATACTAAACCAGCTTGTTTTGATAATGAATTTAGTAATGGATCAAGTATATCACTTAAACCTGGTTCAGGAAATGCTTTTAATAAACGTTCACGAATTTGATTTTGAAAATTAATATCATTACTAGATATTAAACTAACAACAGTAAACATACTTAATATAAGTGGTAATAATGAAATAAGTAAATAATATGCAATAAGTGCTGCTAATGAAAATGACCAATCATATATTACTTTCCATCCAAATAAGGATAATTTAGCAGAAATTCGATTAAAATTTACTTTAGTATTATCTAGCGACATGTTTCGTGTTTCTTTTCGACTGTGTTAGACTTGATAATATTGTTATTTGGGATGCTCGATCGATTTCGTATTAGAACAGAACGACAAAGAGAGACAGAAAAATGTGTTTTTCTAATGCGCCACTTTTTTATTAGTACACCCACTCATTTCACAAGCTGATTCATATGCATTATATTATGAAAAACAAAATACGTTATATGCGCATTTTGGTAATCATATTTTTTTTTATAGACAATTTTTTTTTATTGTAAAGAAAAAAAAAGATTCTAAAATTTTCAACTTGAGGACCTATTAAGTTTTTTTGGCTCGTGGAACAAGACAATTCAATGTTTTGTTTTTCATAATAATTAGAATAGCGAATGTTGAGTAAAGAATCAGTAAATGCCGTTTAATCAAAAGCAAATAACGATCGAATGATGTTTTATGCGTTTGTGATTGAAACAGATGGTTTTTCTTTCTCAATCATAAAAGATTAATTCACTGCTGACTCGCATATAGTCCACATTGGGGTGGAAGTATCATGATTTTTTACAACGAGAGCCTATCTTTCTTCTGACAGATTCTTTCAACTTTGGTCGAAAGCAAAAAATATCGAAAGTAGAAATGTCGAAAGGAGAATGTCGAAAAAATTGAGAAGTAGAAATGTCGAATGTGAACACATCGAAAGTAAAAATGTTGAAAGAAAAGGTCGAAACCTTAGCTGAAGATTAATGAATGTATTCTGGTTAAGAAAATAAAAAGCAAGTAATATTATAAAATCAAATGTTTATTATATTGTAGAAGCTTCCATCTTTATCTTGATCACACGAATAATGGAAAAATGAAGAGCATTATTCTTATTCTTCTCCATAACATTCGGGGTTGCCACTTCTTCCGCTTTTTCACCTTTTTTCCGCTGTTCCGCTTTTTTCCGCTTTTTGATATACAAAGGTGATGTATTTCCAAAATACGTACAGAGCAAAACTTGTTATTGTTGAATAAAGTCTTACTGTTTACGCATCCAGTTAATCATCACTCTTATCATGTCATCCATAAAATTAATGGATGAACACAGAAAGTTTTTCTATGTTAGAGGGCCTGCCCACTAATCGCCTGTTCGGGAATTGAAAACATCACTCTGCTCTCAACTGATAGTTATCTCCTTTTCAACTTATTTTGTCTACTGTATTTACACAAAAAAAATCTCAAACCTAAAAATTTAAACGCTTTTTTATGATCTATAGATAATGAGATTACAAATGAAGATGAAACAGTTCGTAAACATTTAATAAAATCATCATCCATTCTGAAATCAAATGAAAATAAAAATGTTAAAGCCGTACTATGTGCTTATCAAAAGATAATAAAAGGTATGTTTTATCCACAATGGCTACTTAATCCTCAGTTTGCATCATTTTTTTATGAGGGTATAAACCAGATTCAGCTAAAGTTCTTTGTATTGCCTCTAACGAACATATTTCAGTATATGATGGTGGAAAAAATGATATTAATCGTCACATAGAGTTGAAAAGACATAACAAAAACATCAAATCATTTCGTATAAATCGACAATTGATAACATCAACTATGAAATCTAACAAGAAGGTTGAAGAAACAGCAGCTGTGGAAGGTACTTTTGTATATCATGGAGTGAAGCATAGTCATTCTTATTCATTTCAACAATATTTTATGTTTTGCAATTTTGTTAAAATAAAAACAGAATGCTATAGATATGAAAAACGCTCAAAATCCTCATAAATGCTAAAAATCCGCAACGAAATAAGTTTTCGCTTTTCATTTTTTCTGTTTTTTGTTTCTGCAATTTTCCGCTTTTTCGGCTTCATGAAGTGGCATCCCTGATAACATTGTACTAAGTGACCAATGTTTAACAAACTAATGATAGATTTAACTGAATATAAGACACAATTGATCGTACAATAACGACATCTTCATCGTACATCTGTCAAAATTTTATTTTTATGACTTCTTTCGACATTTATATTTTTACTTTCGGCATTTTTCGCTGTAGATATTTTTACCTTCGATATTTTTACTTTCGACATACTTACTTTCAACATTTTACTTACGATATTTTCACGTTCGACATTTTTAATTTCGACCAAAGTTGTATTTGCCCTTCTGATACAATGAAAAAAAGAATTTCAGCTCTGCCAAAGAAAAATAAAAATTTTTCATGATTGAGGGGCTGTTACACTCTCGGCAGTCCTCCAGAACGTGTCTAGGTAATCTTGGACCTGGGAAGCTTTATGCATATGAGAAAAGTGTAGAGTACGCTAGTCATCGAATACAGAGAGTCGAAAAAATATTACGTATATCTTGAATGACTATGCGATTCGAATTAGAAAATTACATTGAGAGTATCGAAGTACGGTTTGATCGGGTTCAAAAAGTTGGGACCCTACAGGCTCTACTCTAGAATCAGGCCACCATTAAGTTTATTCAATAACTCATACTATCCTTCGTCTTTTTGTCTACTTAATTCAGAAAACAAAAGGATTACAACCATTCGCATTAAAATCAGTGTTATCTTTTTTTTGTTATTTAATCTTCAAACTAAAAGAAAAATATGCAAATCGTCGATTATGAAGTATATTATTTGATATGTATAAAAGAAAAAGCGAGACCATTAGTGACTTTAGAATAATATAGGATTGCAATTTTTTAAATGATTTTCAAAACAGTAATTTGGAATTTTTTTTCTATGATTCTTTTTGACTGTGAACATTTCTTTTGCTACACAGATTGCAAGATTTGTAATTTCTATCACACATATAAATCACATTTATCATCCCAATACTTCTCTTAATCTGAAATGAATAAATTTTAATGGATACATATATTTTGGTATTGTGAATAAGTTGAGATGACAAAATTTAAGTTTGCTTCCTTATTTAAATAAGAACAATCTTTGAATAGAAGACGATTGCTTTTTTTTAAGTTCCATTCCGAAAATTCAACGGGTTTGGGGTTTTAGTGGCGAAAAACTCGAGTTTCCAGTGAAAATATTTTTCTTCACTCTATTTCCTATTTTTTCTAGTAAAAGTGTTGGTTTTCTGAGACTCGATCTCAGCAACTGCTTCTCTGAATACCAGAAGAGTTTTTTAATAACTCTAAGTTTTCTAGGTCACGGTTAATAAACATTCAGCCTACAATAAAAGACGACCGTTACAAGTGATATGAATTCCCTTACTAGAATGTCATGATCTTTTGTTTCAGAAGGATAAAGAAACCTGCATCGAAGTTAGCTTTGAATCCGACTTTTCTCCACCTTTGTGAAGCCTTGAGAAGATGTGAATCGAAACTTCGAACTACATGATTTTGTACAATAAATATCAATAGAACAAAACTTACTATTCAAAAAAACCTATCGTGCTTAATCTAATTTACTGTTAAGCAAATTAGAGAGCTCTTACCACAACTAAAAATGACTCCGATACAAGTCTCTATGGAAGAGAGAGTTACTGTAAAAATACTTGTTAACGTCCAGTCAAGATCAAAAAACCTAGATAATTTGATCAATTTAATGATATTTAACATGGATTAATTTTATCAAGTTCTAGAGCCAATACATGTATACGAAATTGAACGTTAGATTTTATTCACCTCGGTTTGTATGTCTTTATATACACACGAGAAGAAAAAGTGTATTCACTAGCTATTACTGTTGTCCTTTACCTAATCCGATTGAAATTGTATTAAATGACCTCAGTTTTCTTTAGTCATTAAGTTACTTCCGCCCCTCTCCCCTCCATTTCTGTCATACATTTATTTCCATCTCAGAACAATTGGTCCAGCTAAAATTTTCAGAAAATAATGGTTCAGAGCCTAGAATATTTACAGTAATAATTTCAATACCAAATTATTGAGCTCTTTGAGAGTTCTGCCACTATTAGGTGTCACAAAAGTAGGTCTTCGGCAATCTCAGAGTTCGCTTGCACATCTAATGATACAGATTTCGAGTTGATGTCACAATATTTTGAAAAGCTCGAAAAAATAGGTAGAGTGCGAGTATTTACGTCATCCTTCTACAATCAACATTATCAATTCACACTTATACTAACAATAGCAGCTGCGTAAATAGACTAAAGATGACTAGAAGAAAGAAATGATTATAAGCATGAAAGAATGAAGCCGATGAAAGAGAAGAGGACGCATAATTACGTCACAAAACGTCCCTTTTGACATAACACTATCAAAATAATTATATAATTAAATAAACACAGCTAGAAAAAAAAATACAACTCACGAATGCACTGGTTTGAAAACTTGCAGTGCTTGCTATCTTGCACACTTTTACTAGATTCTTTACTAGCGAAAACCTTAAAAAAAGCTCAAAATACAACAATAACTAACATTTTCACAAAAGTAATCGTTTTTCGTTATTCCAACATCATCAGTAAGTCCTGTAGAAAATCGTGAAGAAGTATTAAAATTTCTACATTTAATACTGCTTTTAAAAGTAGACATCGAGACCTATAATAACCAAGTAAAAATCTCAGAATCAATTTTTTTAACTGAAATATTGATAAAAGTTTTGACTTTCAGTTTATACAATTTCAAGATATCTTCAATGAATGAATGCATCATATCTTATATTTGTATTTTGAGATCAAAATCAAACTTTTTTTTTCAATGATAATTTGTTATCTCTGTTAAAGCTCATAATAATATCAACCTATGTTGATCTACGTCATAAAAAAAACAAAAAACTTATCGCTATTATTCTTTTCGTCTCATGCTAGATAAAAGAATATGACAGTGCAGTTAATCAGTATAAAAAAAAGGTAGAAGTTGAAGGATTCTGTACTTCACTATATTATCAACAGCAACAACAAGATAGAAATGACGACTAAGACTGATGATTATATTCCACCACCTACAGCTCATGCGTCTCAGTACTATGCTGATTTTGGTACACCAATTGTATCTAATACCAATGAACAACTACCACCACCACCTGCCTATACAGCTGTTGCAATACCTTCAGCAGCTAATACCACCGCACGCATGAAACCTATTACCAATCCATCAACTGTCGTCAATGAACTTGTTAATCAACGGTTTTCACCAACCACTCAACGACAACTTAATTCTCAACAAATTCTTCGTATAACCCAATATATAGACAATCAAGAGAAAATGGTAACTAATAGATTTGCTGTAGCTTTGTGTATTTCTATTGTTGGCATGGTAGTGGGTATTACTTGCGTTAGTTTGTTTATCGTTTTTCATAAAGATTTATGTGGCTTCTATCAAACAGCTTCTTCTTGTGTTCGTGCGTATTCACTATTGATTATTGGAAGCCTTTCTATTCTTTTGGGCGTTCTTCGTATTACAATTTATGGTCTAGCGAAAAGAAAAATAAGTCGTGCAAAGAAATTGTGGCAAGAAAGAGTGGCTCAGTTACAACAATCATCATTACAAGGCTATTGATTTAATCATTTCTTTATTTTCTTTTAATCTAATAAATGAAATATCAATGAAATATTCTGTTCTCATTTGAATCTATGACATAATCAAAATAATGAGATTGAATTACACATTGATTAATTTTTGTTTGAAATTCATGTTTCTAAACATTTTAATAAAAATCATGTAAAAATTTCCTTGTTTATGTATGTGTTTTAACAATAGAAATCAAACTGTTTACTATTCGAAAATTGATCATAGCTTGTCTATCGATTTGTATTTCTAAAATAAATATTTGTTAATCGATGTATGTAAGAGAGAAAACATTAAGCATACACAATATTCTATGAAACATGCTTGCAGTTATGGATATTCTTTATCCACACTTAGAAAAATAAAAAGTTCATATGAATAACATACGCGATATGTTGATCGTATGTTTTTGATTTTTTTTATACGACGTAAAAGTAAGACGAAGATTAGTGAAGAAAAACAAGCTTCTTTTAGACTTCCGTTTACTTTCATCTATTACTATTGCGGTGTTACCTTGAAATATAGGACAATGTGATCCTTTCATCTTACTCAGCCGGATTAAGGTCACATTTGATCAGAGAAAATTCTACGTTTCGATACGACTCAATCAGTACAACAATTAGGTCGAGTTCATTTCTTTTTCTTTCCAGTCTTTTAACTTCGACAAATGAAGGGGCAGTCGAATATGAATTGCTAGATGATCATTTATACTTATTCACTTCATTTTTTTTTCATTCTAATTAGATCTGATTACTTTATCGCTCATTCATATCTCATGCTTGAATATGTGTGCACGTGTATATGTACATAGAGTTAAGTATAGGTAAGGTTCAATTAAAATATACATGTACATACGAAAATATGTCTGAGTGGGAAAGATGATACGATAACAAGGACAGGTTCAATGGACAAGTAGACATCGTCTGTTAATAGAGGTAACGATAAGTATGAATCAACAAGAGAAAAAAATTTACATGCCAATATGAAAAATACCATTTTCAACAGGAGAAAGTTCATGCGGAAGAGTCGTTTTGAATTTAATTACGTTCTAAGATAGTTGAATTTATATAAAGATCGTTTCTTTACATTATCGTTGAGAAAGAGGATGGCGAATATGTACATGCCAAGTTGAAAAGAAAAAGAGATTATGGGATGTTAACATATCTAATTTCTTCGTTCAACGTCAATGTATGCACGAGTCTTCCTCCTTACGAAATTAAAATGTCAGATACGATTATTTCCTCCTCCTCTTTTTCGTTTATTAGAGGTCAGTCACTTTGTCATTTCTTTTTTTTCTTCTCCTACTCACTTTCGTTCGTTTGTCTCTCTATTCTTTTGTTTGATGTTTTTGTTGTTTTTTCGATTTGACCTGTCCGCCCTACAGTCAACGTTATGTGTGCAATGGATATAGAAGATAATGAATCGATGATCGTTCATATGTGTTGTCATAATTGACGAAAAAAAAAAAAGAAACGAAAAGTGGTAATTGGAAATGACAATATGTACTTGGCAAATATTCATGGTAACATAAAAAGAGACGTTTGCGTTTTTAATTAAATTATTTTCTTTTCTTTTCTCTTCTTTTTGTATTTTAATTTTAGTCTTTAGTTTTATTCTTTTCATTTATAAAATATCATCAAAAAGTATAAGTTTTAGTTATCGTTCATGTTTACCAAATATTGATTTAATTCATATTGAACATATTCATCCATTGAACAGTCAATACATTCAATTAATTACAAAAGATTTTCATTTACATATTATTTATCGATATAAAAAAGAAAAATATCAATTTAACTTTGGTAATTTAAATACATTATTAGGAAATTTATCAAATATTGATTATCAATATCAATCAGCAATTAATTATTATCATCAAATTGATACATGGAATTATGTTAATATTACATTTAATGATAATTTATCACGTATATTTGTATCATTTAATAATGATGAAACACGATTAATACCTTTAATTGATTATCCATTATTATTTCAAAATCAAACAATTGAAACAAAATTAAATATACAAATACTTGTTAATGAACAAGATCAAAATGTAACATGTTTATTACCGTATATAGGTTTTGATATAAATAAAAATAGTTATTTAAATTCTTGTTTAACAAATATTAAAACATGTGGTTTGTAATTGAAAAAAAGAAAAGAAATAAAGGTTTTTTTTTTTTGGTGATTAATTTTATTCATTTCTAGAACATCGTATATGTACATCATCGAATAATGTTGAACAGTATTGTCCACTTTTTAAAATATTTGATTGTTATCCATTTACTGGTAAATAAAATTTAATATTCTATTTGAAAGACAATAATTTTTTTTTTGAATCAGATTTAAAATGTGGTTTAAAAACAATACCTGTTCGTTGTATGAATAATTATTGTCAAAATCAAGGAGTTTGTTATGTTAATATATTAAAAAATGCTTCTCAATGTGTTTGTCCATTTGGTATATATATAGTTTTTGAAATAATTTCGATTTCTTTTTTGTGAATAAATTTTTTCAAGGATTTGCTGGTGATCAATGTCAGTATGATATTAATGAATGTCAATCAAATCCTTGTCCAAATCAGAGTAAATGTATTGATTCACCAAATGGTTATACATGTATTTGTGGTATGAACAAAAAAAGAAAATCGATAATTCGAAAATATTTGTTTTTTTTTCGTTGAAGAACCTGGTTGGACTGGAATAGATTGCTTAGAAGATATTGATGAATGTAAAATAATACAACCTTGTAAAGCAGCAAGAAATTGTATTAATCTACCTGGATCATATAAATGTGAATGTCTTGATAGTTTCACTGGAATAAATTGTGAAATGGTATGAACAATAGAAAATTAAAATGAGATTTTATTTTGAAAAATGTTTGTATTTAGTAGCTGGTAACTTATTTAAAAAAATGATTTGATAATTATTTTTGGATTTCAAGCCGAGCCGTACTTATTTGAACGAAATTTCTATAGTCGAAATCTAATAGTCATTGCAAAAATGCAAGATACTTTTTGTCGATTATTTATATTCTTCTAGCAAATCGTTAGGCATTAACTTAGACAATCTTGACGATGATCTCAGAATAATCAAATCATCATTCGCTGCTAATTTTCGAATATGATCTGCTTCATATTCATCAAGGAATTATCATAGTTCCGTTGAGAACTTCTCAGCAACTTATGAGGAAACTACTTCAGTTGATATCCGCCGTTTGAGCTCATATTGGATTCACATTGCAAGTCCCAGTGAGATTAGCAAAATCCTAAAAAAGTTCGTCTGCATGAGGCTTTTTTGTCGAGTTATGATCAGTTTAGTGGATTTTCGATTCATAAGTTGATAGTTCCCAAAAACCCAAATGACAGAACTTCGATTCAAAATTTTTGCGTCTTAATAGGTCTAATCACTATTAGAATATTCAGAAAGTTTCACATGCAAAGAATTTTCCTTCATCACTGTATTGTATCGCTGCAGACATTACTTGAGAACGTAATAACTTAAGGGAGGATAATTCTTTTCGGCTGAAACTCTTAGAATATTCTAAGATTGAAAATTGTTGACACGATTGGATTTAGAACTAACTCCTAAGTACTCTAATCATAACATGTGCATCACGACTGTCATATGTGTCCCATTTGCGCATATGTTTTTTGTCACATCTATGCGATGAATTTTATGTTTATAAAAAATCACCAAAAGTTGCTTTATCTTGATATCACATATTTATCTTTTTCTTTTTGACATGTCATTTTGATAGTAATGGAAATTCAATTGAATTTCGTTTAATTAGTAAAAATGAAATGGGAATCTTTTGACTCATCCACTAAAGTTGATTGTGAAAATTGATCGATGAATAGAAGTGAATAAATAAAAGTAGCATAGTTGACAAGATATAAGTATCTTAATTGAAGAACTAACGTTTATCTTATGAACGACCTTCGTTTTACTTCTTAAGCGAGAATTATACTAAACAGTATTTTATTGAATGAATTAACTCTTCTTTTTATAGAACATTCTATCTTATAACTTTATCACATAGTAGCTCTATCCTATCTAGAAATATATTCTACATAGTCATAAATTCTATTTTAATACGAACAATTCATCATTGTACAATTTCTATTTAAATAAGCGATGAAAAAAATATATAGAAAAAATGATATTGAATGAATCTTTTTTCTATGATATTTATTCAGTGTCGACATAACTACTTGAACTATTCAGTTTAACATATATCAATATTCAGATTGTCATAAGAAATTCGAGTCAGGTAATCAACAGATTGTTCGTAAGATTAACATTCTATGAAGAATATAAACCTTATTGAATTGTGATTACATTTAAAAGTTTTTTTTTTTTTTTGAGACTTTAAATTAAGCAATTTCCTTTTTTTTAGACACTTGATCCATGTTTATCTCAACCATGTCTAAATAATGCGACTAAATGTCATTCAATACTAGATCGTGATAATATTCTTTATCATTGTACATGTCAATCAGGTTTTACAGGTTATCATTGTGAAACGAATATAAATGATTGTGAAGGTATAATATGTCAAAAAAATAATACACATTGTATTGATGGTATTAATTCATTTCATTGTGAATGCAAACCTAATTTTAAACGAAGTATGGATGTATAAAAATATTTATAAAATTAGAAACAAGAATTTAAAAGTATTTTTCTTTTTCATTCATGAAGATTGGGATGGTTCATGTGTTGAACAAAATCCTTGCGATTCATCACCATGTCATCAAAATGCTACTTGTTATAATTTAAATGGTGGTCAATATCGTTGTATATGTCCACCAACTTATACAGGTATTCGATGTGATGAAGATATTGATGAATGTAGTGTATTTCCATTCATATGTCGAAATGGGGGCACGTGAGTTACTTTGTTTTTTATATAGATTAATTTTTCTATTTTTCATTAATTTAAATATATTTTATAAAGATGTATAAATGAAATTGGTTCATATCGATGTTATTGTGCATTAGGTTGGTTCGGTTCAACATGTGCTAAATCAATTGATTATTGTCTTTCTCAACCATGTAATCGAAATGGAACATGTATTAATAAAGTAATCTTTTTCTTTTAAAACGAAAATAATAAAGTCATAGCAAAAGAAAACGAAAATTTTAGATAAATGGATTTGAATGTCATTGTTTATCACCATATACAGGTGATGTATGTCAATATGATATTGATGAATGTTTAATAGAACCATGTGCAAATAATGGAACATGTTATAATTATGTTGGTGGTTTTCATTGCCGTTGTCAGACCGGATATTTTGGTATGAATGAATGATATATGTTCGAATATAGGATTAAATATTCACTGGGTTTTTTTTTGTTGAATAGGTTTTCATTGTGAATATCCACCGTCGGAATGTGAACGTTTACAAAAAGCAAGTTTTTCTGTTAAATGTAATGATCCTCATTTATGTATTGTTAATGATACAGAAAAATTAAGACAATTAAATCAATTAACAACATATACATGTCGAACAGAACGTGATCGAATACTTGATAATTATTTTACATGTACTAGTGAACAGAAATTTAACTATTGTCATTGTCCTTCAAGTAAGATAGAATGTTTTTTTTTTAGTAAAATTTTCAAAAGAAATTTTTTCAAACATTGGTTGAAAGAAGTTTCCTATAAGAAGTTCATTAACAGATGGAATTACTGACAATAGATGGATAATCACCGGTAGAGTAGTTCATTACTCATAGACTGGTCGTTACCGATATGTCTTACCAATTGTTTTGCTGTTAGTATCTCATAGAAGATGTGTAATAAAACTTTCTTGAAAGTTGACTACGTCTAATATCATTATCCACAATGGAATAATACGACAATTCGTCAGTTCAATGTTGTGATGAGTTTTAGACCGATGAGTTTACAGGCAATCAGCCCTATCGGCTCTTGTCTGGCCTATTTATTACTCTTGATGGAAAGCACAATAGATGCTAACAAGTCTGTTAGTTGCGATTAGAAAAACTATGAGTCGCTGGGACAAAACAATAGTTGCTACAGATTTGTGAAGAATCCATATTTCAGATTTATCGACTTTATTTCAATACTTCTTTTATGTCAAATCGCCATGGCTATGAGACTACGTCTTTTGATACGTATCTAGAAGATACTGTGCTAAAACGTCAGTATCACTAGTTATGCAGTGGTTGTTCTGGACAAGTCACTAAAGGTTGTTGGTCTCAAATAGTTCGTCCGATAGCATAATGATTACATTATGACATACATCTGCTTTTGTAGCTAGTTGGTGTGGGTAGCAGGAGCTTAAAACACTTATATGCAAGAAATCTATGTTAGACTAGTCATCTATCCAAAGGTACATTTTGTAGTAGTTGTACAAAAGATAGGGTATCCAGCAGTCGTTAGATAACCCTCAATACCCAAAGACAGGAGTATTCTTCGATGTTCTAAATCACAAAATCTTCATTTAGATATTATTGCATGTACAGATAATTATACTGAAACATTCGGTAAATCTTCACTTTCAAAATCAAATTGTCCTTGTCGAAACGGAGGAACTTGTCATCGGATAAATTCAACAAATTATCATTGTTATTGTCCACCTGGTTTAACTGGTGAAAATTGTCTCGTTCAAATAGATTATTGTTTAAGTCGTCCATGTTATAATAATGGTACATGTTTATCACAATTAAATACATATACATGCCAATGTCAAACAAATTATAAAGGTATATATTGTCAAAATTTAATTAATCGATGTGAAAATAGTCCTTGTCTTAATAATGGTATATGTGAACAATATAATGGAAAATATAAATGTAATTGTTTATCAAGTTATACAGGTAAACATTGTGAAATATATCGAACACCTTGTTTATCACAACCATGTCAAAATCATGGAAAATGTATTAATTATAATAATACATTTGAATGTCAATGTTCATTAAATTATCAAGGTAAATATTGTGAACAATTAATTGATTTATGTTATACAAAATTCAATACAAGTATATGTCTTAATGGTGGTTTATGTTCAATGACTAATCATAAAATCCAATGTTCTTGTTTACCTGGTTTTACTGGTCTTTTTTGTGAAACAAATATTGATGAATGTTATACAAAACCATGTTCAATACATGGTAATTGTATTGATTTAATAAATGGTTATCATTGTCATTGTGAAATGGGTTGGTATGGTTATAATTGTGAAAAGAAACAAAATGATATAAGTAAATCACTTAATTATCATTCAAGTTTATCATCAACAACATTTCATTTACGTAATTCATTAATAAATATTTCAAAATATTTACCATATCGTCATTCATCATTACCAATACGTATTCAATATGAATTTCGTACAACATTAAATAAAATTTCATTACTTTCAATCGGAAAACGTTTTAAACAAAAATTAATTAATAATAGAATATTAACAAATTTAGATAATAAAACACTTCTATCAACATTTATTGATTATTATGAAAAATGGTTTATGATTAGTATTGAAATATTTCATTTATGGATTGATGTACGAATAGGAAAAAATTCTTTATCACAAAGATTTTATGTATCAAATTCATCATTATCTAATTTAATTAATAATCAAGTTATTTTTGGTTATAGACATTATTCAGGTTGCATAAGAAATATTGAAATAACTTATAGTCAAGTTTATTCAATTTTACTTACTGATCAATTGATCGAAACAAATGAAAATCGAACTTTAGGTTGTGAAAGGTAATGGAATAGTTTGTTTTTGTTTTAGAAACACATGCTATATACTTGTTCACACTACGACAACATCCATAAGAACTGAAGGTGTACTAGCAGATGCTTTTCGGTTAGAGAACATCTATTAACGGATGGTTCAGAGTAAATGAGATAATATGGTTTTCTTTTGTGAGTAGAGTCTCGAAATAATCTCGGACCCAATTGGCTCTATGATTGAGTCATTCCGATACACACTTTCAAAAAGTTATTCAATAGAGAAGAGGCTTTTCCTTGGTTTTATCTCATGATTATTCTCGAAATTGTGAAGCATTTATTATGCAGAAATCGGTGAAGAAGTCAGTAACATGCTTGCCATTTCAGAAAGCTGTTATTTAAGAAAATATGCATCATTTTCCCGGTTTGTTTTTGGATCATCGCAAATGGAACAATTAGATGTTACTATTTTAAATTACTTCAAAAATGAATGCAACAATTAATCATGTGGAAAGATACAAAATGATCCTAGCAAAAAAATAAGCTTGATGTTTTCTGTACATTTAGATGTATAAAGGAAGGTATTTTCGAAAGTTATGATAATACTTAATATATTAGTATTAAATATGACGAGAGAAAAGTTCAAGTTCATTATCGTTAAGACGGCAGACAATTTCCGTAAGATTTTTGGGACTTTTTTAAATATCTATTTTTTTCCACTTTGAATACAAACTAAAAAAATGTATTTGTGATGAAAATTCGACAATTACTGTTTGTTTTCTTGTGCAAGGTCATTATATTTCATATTATAATCTCATATGAACATTGCTGAAATTTTTATTTATCGTCCTTCAAGAATTAAATTACTTGCAAAAGATCAGAAAGTAAGATATCGATCGCTACATTAATCATTCGTAATGACGTATCTTAGAATTCCGGTTTGGTTTTATTCTAATTTGAAGACAATCATTACAAAATGAATATAATGATTATTCCGGTCAGATATAGACAAGATGGTCCCGACCCTAACCAGGAGGAGGACTAATACTTTTTCATTGGAGACGATATCTTTTATGGTTATGTAAAATTTGTGTTAAATGTCATCTTCTCACGACTCATGTGTTTTAAAAGTGTATGTGAAAACTATTGAGTAACAATCACTTCAATATTTGCTGTTGCAATATTCATAATAAAACTACTTTTTTTTATTGTCAATAACAGAGTTGTCAAATATATAAACGTTCAGAATGGACAAAATTTTAAGGAATTTGAAAAAGTAATGAATTTGAAAGAGGGAAGACGTGAGCAATCGTGCACGATATCTCGAGTTCATTGATTCTGCGAGATAATAATATCGCATTTTCCCCTAGTTCATGTATTGTTAAGCGTGAAATCAGAATCGAAAACTTTTTTTTTCTGATCAGAACTAGGACCAAGTCAAAAGTTGAAAAGTTCTGTTAAATTTAATCAACTGAGTAAGTGTCGGTGCTGTGAAGCTCATAGGTATTACGAATCGAGATCGATTTGATCTTTTAAAAATCATAACGAAAGACTTGTACCCATCACAAAAGAAATTAAATGAACATACATCTATAAATGCAGATTTCTTGACTCCGGAATCCTTCGATCAAGTTATAAAAAAACGTCTTTGTTTTCTCAAAATACTACCAGTAAGAAGCCAGATATTTCAAATCTATGCTTTCTCTTCATGTATAATTAGTATCAGAATCCTTGATTATTAAAATAAACTTTTTTATAGAACAAACGCTTGTCAAAATGCCCTTTGTGGAAAAAATGAATTATGTCAAGATCATTGGTTTTATCATACATGTCAATGTCAACGACCTTTCTTCGGTGAACATTGTGATCAAAGTAAATTTTTGTGGTTTTTTTTTCTTCCATTGAAATTTTCTTTGATTGTTTTTTTTTCTTCATTCTCAGTTGCTCCAATTATAAAATTTAATCAATCAAGTTTAGCTAAAATATCATTTTCATCACCAATATCAAATATATCTTTTTTCTTTAATACTCTTCAACCGAATGGAACATTATTTGAACTTATGTCATTAATAAAACAACAACGATTAACTCGTGATTTATTATTACCAAACCGATCAACATCAAAAATAATTGGAGCATTAATTGATGGTCATTTTCGTTTGATAATTATTGATGATGGACCTAAACGAAAAGAATTTGAATTACGTAGTGAACAAAAATTAAATGATGGACGTCCACATCAAATTGAACTTGATTTAGAAAATTATAGATTAATTATCGATAGAATTCATAATGAAACATTAACTAAAACACATAATAAAATATTTTTAAATCATATTCAATTTCTTGGTGATAATACTTTAAATGGTTGGCTACAAGATATACGTATTAATGATCAACTTATTTCATTTGATAATACCAATACATTAACAAAAAATTTTAATACAACTAGTTTAAATATGAATCAAGTTAAAAATAATCCATGTTATCCAAATAATCCATGTTTAAATCAAGGCATTTGTCTTGTAACACATTTACAAGATTACTTGTAAGTTTATTTTAGTTAATAAGATGCTTCCATTTATTAAAAAAAAAATAACAAGAAAACAAACAATCAATTTCGTCTATACATTATGTTGAAATTAAATATTCGATTTTATTTATTCTTGACAGTCTTTTAAACTTTGAGCGGAGAATGAATGTACTCTCATGCTTAGTTACTCTATGAGTACATAGTTAAAACTGTACAACTGTCCTTTTCTTTTGTGTCACTTTTGTTATATGTTCTCTTCTCATGAGTAGAGTGCATCCATTTTTTTTTTCTTCTCTTAACACAATAGTATAATAGAAATAGTAAAGATAAATCTAAAGGCGACACAATGATGGTTGTAATAAATTCTGTTTCTTTTCTCATCGAAAGACTAATCAATATGTGTATGCAGAGTATTGTTTGTCTCATACAAATACCTATACATATGTATAGACATATATATGATTGAGAAGAGAAGACGAAGTGAATAATGATAGATAAATTTCGTATAAAAGACGTTTTTATTTCTCTTCTCTTATTTCCATCATTGATTAGATGTCAATGTGAACCAAAATGGTTTGGTAGAAATTGTTCAGAACCAAATATATGTAATTATAATAATAATAGTCTATGTCCAGATGGATTTATTTGTAAAATTACTGATGAAAATCAAGAATGTAAGTTGAATTTTTTTTTCTCTTTTCAATTTTTAATTCGAAAATTTTTATTTATTTATTTTTTCTTATTAATTAAAATAAAAAAAAAACAAACAGGTTTAGCAACAGCAACATTTGAAGGAAATTCAAGTAGTTTAATAGCAACATTACATCATAGTTCAATATCAAAAATATCAAATGAAATATCATTTCGTCTTCGTGCACGTTCACAACATGCACATTTATTAACAATTAAAAATTTATATACATCAAATTATTTTTCATTATATTTATTTGGTCAAAATTTAATTTATCGTGATTCAATATTATTAACAGATCTTATTATTGAATTAAATCCTAAAGTATTTGAAGAATGGACAACATTTCATTTACATTGGTCTGATTTTTCAACATTAACAATTAATTATTTATATACATATACAATAAATTTATCATTAAAATCTTTATTAACATCAAATGGTCAAACACAAATATTTATTGGAAATGGTTTTCGTGGTTGTTTAGAATATGTTTTAATTGGAGAAAATCTTTATATACCATTTTATAATGATCTTATTTATGAAAATGATACACGTAATAATAAATTTTTTATTGAACAAATTGAAAATATTCATATAAATAATTGTACATTTAATAATATATGTGAAAAAATGAATTGTCAAAATGGTGAATGTATTAATGATTTTGATCGAGGTAAATGTTTATGTCATCATGGATGGTATGGAGAGTTTTGTCAAATAAATATTAATGAATGTGAACAAGGAAATAATTGTTCAATTGAAAATAGTATTTGTGAAGATCATCTTGAAGGATATTATACATGTAAATGTCATCAAGGATTTACTGGACAATAGTAAGTAAACTAACTGATGAAGTGTAAGAACAAGTATATGATTATTTTTACAGAAAAAAATTTATCAGCACAACTCTTATTCTAACCATTGCTTTAAGTGACAAATAAGTCTATTCTATAGATACATTAATTATATTTACAGCATGTCTTAGCGTACTATAATGTATATCAATAGATTCAGACATACTGATATTGATCGGTAATTTTTAGCAGTTTACACCTTTTATCTTTATCATATAACGACTGTAGCAAAATCAATGCAACATTACTCATCATCCTTGATGTTTTGAATAGAAATTTTTATCTACGCAAAAATCGAACACTGCACTATGTAGAACATTCACAAATCGTATTTCAGCTATTCAAGTTTCAAGAAAAACTTTGGATTATTTCTAGAGTCACTTAAGAATGAAAGTGCTCAAATGGTTAGTCTGTTTTTCAGTCAGGACTATGTACATTATGTAGACCCAAATGAGCTATAAGAATACCTTAAAACGAGTTCTGCTACTTAATTTATTGCTGCTGCGATGCTGTACTTTTACACTATTTTTTAACTGAATGCTGTGATAAGAGGAAAAATGATTTTTGAATTTCCACTTCAACCTTTGCATGTAGTCCTTAACAAAAATAATTTCTTGTTCATGTTTCAGATCTTGCCACGGTTCCTATTCTAAGAGACAGCTATAGTAAAAGCGAGTTTTTTTTACGTAGGCTATATGCACGGGCAGGTTTGATGTTCTTATTCCAGGATAAGAGTAAACCATTAAATGATCTGAAACTATCACAAAAAAACTACTCTTGTTAAGGCTTGACTATATGTAAAGTTTCAAGTCGAAATTCAAAAATCAGTTTTTCTGTTATCACAAGATTGATATGAAGGCAGTATCTTGATTTAAAAACAATTGATCAGTTGGAAAACTTCTCACGGAAATCTTGTTCCTAACACCAGTTCTTGTCTTTTTCTGTTGTTAAAGAACTCTAATGCCTGTTGTTCTCGGTTGCTCTGGAAACGTACCTAATGACTAATAGGTTCCCTCGTCCTTGGTTGCCAGAGAAAACATACTCATTGGTTTCTAACCTTTGCTCCCGATTGCTAGTGCCTAAGGAGAGAGAGAGAGAGAGAGAGAGAGTTGTAAAAACCTCTACTTATACTTACACTTACTATAATTTGAAAGCAAATTAAGTTGCTAGTACAATCACGGCGACATTAAAATGTGAAACACGATGTAGTTGCTGTTGTTAATCATAGGAAGACTGTTGTATTGTATTTATGTTGGTAAACATTTCTTCACCATCTGTTTTACTTAATCCTCTAGAAATATAACAAGGAAGTAGTTTATATATTAGAATAAGACATTATTGATCTACAGATTATGAGAGAAAGAGTGAGTTCAAATTTTTACACCTACCCTTCAACATTCCTGTCAGATCATGTTTCACAAAGTTATTGTTTTTTTGTTTTAAAACATATCTTACAGAAAAATTTGAACTCGACATCTGAAGTATGAAAGAGCAGATTAAACTAATTTATGACAATATATGAATATTTAATGCAATTTTGTAAAATCTTTTCTTCAGTTGTGAAACAAATATTGATGAATGTTCGTCATCTCCATGTATTAATAATGGTACTTGTATTGATTTAATCAACGGTTACCTATGTAATTGTACGAATAATTATATAAATTCAAATTGTTCAAAATCAATAAATGATACATGTTTTGGTCAATTACATACCTGTAAAAATAATGGTACATGTATATTAAAAAGTGTTCATCTTTATGTTGATAATCCTGAAAGTGAATGTCAATGTTCTAATGGTTATAATGGTAAATGGTGTGAAAATGATTTATGTTTAAAATTAAATTGTCAAAATAATGGTACATGTCAAAGATTATCCAATGGAACAGCAAAATGTTTATGTACAGAACAATGGTATGGTGATGAATGTCAATATGATATAAATGAATGTGAAATAAATCAAAAAAATATTTGTTTAAATAATGGAATATGTATTAATTATCCTGGTGGATATCTATGTCAATGTCATGAACATTATTTAGGAAAACATTGTGAAAATAAACATATTTGTTTAGAACAGTCACCTTGTTTTAATCATGGACAATGTAAAACTGATGGTGAACATTATTATTGTGAATGTTTAACAAATTTTACAGGTGTACATTGTGAATTATTAACATGTGAATCTATACCTTGTGAACATAATAGCACATGTATACCGGATTTTCATCAAGGATTTATATGTAATTGTGCAGGAACAGGTAAAAATAAATTTTTCATTATTGGTATTATTTTTATTCTCTGTTTTTTTTTTGAATGAATAGGTTATGAAGATGAACGATGTACAACAGAAATTGATGAATGTTTCAGTAGTCCATGTCAAAATAATGCAACTTGTATTAATCAAATAGATGGATATAGTTGTTCTTGTCCAAAGAATTTTATTGGATTGCATTGTGAAAATAAACAAAAATTTTTAAAATCTCTTAGTGTTTCATCTCATTATATTATATGGCCTAGTATCGCTGTTTTATTATTAATGATTATTATTCTAGTAACTATTATTATTGGACGTATACGTGAAAATCGTCGATTACAAGGAACATATAGACCAGCATTAAATGAAAGTGGTCAAACTTCACGTGTGGAATTTAGTATGATTTTAAAACCACCACCAGAAGAACGACTTATTTAGTCAGATATGATTAGTCTGTTTATTTCACCTGTTACCATCCCTATTTTTTGCTCTTCTTTAGATATATAAACATGTTTTCTCGTTTTTTTTGGTTGCGAATTCAGTCTATGTGTGTGTAGTTTATTTGTTTGTAATAAAGGTCATTTCTTATTGAAGCATTTCTTTATTCATTAGACTATCTATATGAATATTAGATACTTGCTTTAACAACTGGTCTGTTGTATTCATGCTCCATACTGCTACTTTTTTATTTGTAGAACATGTAATATTTCACTTAAATAACTTGAAAAAACTAGTTTTATATCCCAATAGGATCTGACATTTAGAGTCAAAAGCATAAGAGTTCTTTAGTTACAGAACTAAATATGAAATAAGATCTTAGAATACTGAAATATACAGTAGAAGAAACATTTGTACAAAAAGAAAATACTCATTTAATATACCGTTGTCATGGGCATACGCAGAAGAATATATGAATTAGTACCATTTTGTTCAATAAACGTCATCCAAGTTCATCCTATTATGGCACCTCCCGTACGAGATTGTTGTGTTGGATCAACCTAACATGAGTAAAATCTCTTGGAAATCAAATGGCGTCAATAGCAGACCCTATCATAAATCGAATCGGTTGATTAAGAATCTGTCTCAATTCTACAACAATACTGCCTGCAATCACACCAAAAGTTGTTACAGAACTACTGGTATGTATTCTAATCAAAAATTAGATAGCAGACACAAATGTATTCCTGTTAATAGTTACTATCGCTTACGAATCTGTATTGTCTTCTCCATTCATAAATATAAAAGCTATATGTGAACGTAAAAGTATTCGTGGTACTGTAATGATCATATAGTGTCACCAGATAGATTGTGACGAGAAAGAAACTACAAAACAAAATTAATTTACGTATTTCCAAAAATACTCCTCGTTACTACTGTACTATCTAACCATTGTTGGGACGTCATTTTCAGTACATAGAGCGTATGTATTGGAAATACATGTTTTTGGAGAAGTTTTCAGCCAAAATGTAGATCAGGCGTATCGACATAGTCGTCAAGTGGTGCAGCCTTGACTGAATTCAGTATTATGGTCAAAGCAAAGCCCATTAAGTACAAGATTCGATACATTTTCAACAGTGATGACAGAATAGTAGGTCTTCTTGGTTTATAAACCGAAAAATGTTTGAAGTGAGCTGGCTCATATAAGATATCACGAATAGGATATCTTATCTATACTTGTATGTTGTTTTCAAAATTCGAATAACATTCGTCCTCAAACAGAATAAAATGTTTGTAGATATTCTCTCAGAGATTAGATTTCTTTGTGTTCAAACTTGATACTCGAAAACTAGCTCTACTGTAATCTGATCTAATCGATAAAGCATGAAAAATGATCAGATATTAAGTTTTACAATTGTTACATCATATATCACGTCGCTTACCGATCTTAGAAAAAAACAGTTGCGACCGAAAAAAGAATCATAAATGTCTTCACAATGAACACCGCAGTCTCTAATACTCACAAGTAGAATGCTGTCCATTGAATTTATGTATTCAGGAGAAAAGGAGAAAATTTTATCTAGGATCGGCACACTGTGATCGCCAATAGGGTAGCAATTGAAGATCGACGTTCTCAAATTGTCGATCAATATGTATTAGGATACTTTCATTGCCCAAACAGCCTTTCAAAGAAAATTAATTCTTTATTTCTGATTAGTTTCAAGTATCGATTGTTTTCGCTTTCGATTAACAGTTGCATACATTATATGTAGGCGCTCTTAGTTTATAGTTTGTTGCCATGGTATTAATTTCCAAGACAATATTGTTTACTTTTGTTGTTGTGACAACGAACCAACCGGGTGTGAAATATCTATGTAAACTATTATGTATACTGCTCACCATTAATCGCATATGACTTCCTTATTTTTGAAGTGGATTTCAGTTTGACAAATACTCAAGAATGAAACGTGTCCATTTTTTTCGGAATCTGCACTCAATAGAGCTTACCAAGGAGTACATATAGAGTGCAAATTTAAATCCAAAACTCTGATTTTTCGTTTTCCCTGAAATACACTAGTTCTTTTGCTATATTGTCACAATTAGGTGAAGACAATCGAAAAATCTCCATTCACATCTTCTCTTCTAAAATAGTTGCAATTATAATCCTTTTGCTCAAAAATTCACTCTATTTGGTGGTTACTTGATGTAGACAATAATGATATGTTCTCTCTTCAAATTAACCTAGAGAAAGAAAAACTGACACAGCACATCGAGTAGTAAGTCTTTCAGATGACTATATCTCGATCATGCAGTCACTTCTATTTTTTGACGGTAAGCGGAGTTCTTACCAATAGAAAGCAAAGTTGTTCATTCTTGTATTATTAGGATATAGATTTGTGTATCTTACTAAACCGTCTGAATGCGTGTTTTCTTTTCATCGACGTCTACGCCGCATACTCATCTACAACGATATCAACCCCTGCACCCAGCTTTTGTACCTATAACCTACAGACATAGCCATCACTATCCATCAAAAGAAATAGTAACAAATTACGTGGTGATTTCATGCATATATTACTGAATGAAATGTTCAAATGATACATACTCAATAGTCCGAGCAAGCACGTTCCTAAAAATCTATTCTTGTGATACTGCAGCGTTCGTTTCCTGTGTTGTATGAATAGCGTGTGGATATGGGTGTGCATATTTAGTTCACCCACACCTTCAGATCTAGTCAGTGACATGTTTTATCTAACTATAAAGAAAAAAACAATGAAATGAAATAAGAAAAAGTTCTATAGGGTAAAAATCGATGTCTAGCTCAAATGAAAAACATAAAGTGTTGTTTTAAAGTAAAACACAATTAGGTTGACTGGAAATATTTTGATCCATGTCAGCTATTTTTAATTTAGTACAAGTTCTAAATCATATTATTCAACATTTTATAATCATGGTTGTCTACTCGAATGATTATCATGTCGGACAGAACTTTTGCATTTCTAATCAATTGAATTCATCATATATTCATCGGAATTTTATTACGTATATTTTTTTTTCTATTTCGTTCTTTTCATTATCGTCTGTCTAGGTCACCGATTGAAGGTCAACAATATCTAAATGTCAGTGTCTGTTTTGTTCTGTATTTTAGCTCAAAATCCTTGAGACATTTATGATCGAGATTACTTTCCTTATTATCCTTAATGCATCGCGATTCATTCAATATAATCAAACAGATATCTTTTGGATTCGTAAATGTCTATCAGATATACTATTCGATCCTGAAATACAAAGACGCCATTACCCACCTGTTATTATTCAAACTGGAAAAAAATAAAAACTTAATAAGCTTTCAATACACACTTCCTTCTTTTTACTAGTTTTATTACTATAAAGCGTAAAGCCATAATTTCGTGTATTCTAATAAAATACAACAAATCGACTATCATGACATAGGTAAAATACCTGGTTACATATTTGCCTTTTCCTTGAACATCTTGTTAATTTGTTAATGTTAATTCTTTTTTTCCAGTTTTTTTTCTCGTGTATATTTATAATGTTATCGTTAAACACACGAGTTATTATTTATCTATTTATAAAACAAAAAAATCGATAGAACCGTGTCTGATGTTGAGATCATCGTTTAACTAATTCATTAACTACAAAAGATCCTATTGGATCTGACATGTACGTAATTAATAATCATCTTCTATAATAATAAATTTACATAAAGATATTTTTTTTATTCTATTAAAAAATGAAAAATAAAAATCGATTGTTTGATTAATCCATAAAACGAAGCGTTGTGAGATGCAGATACTTCATTCAGACGATTGGGGAGTGTCGATGAGAAGAGAAAAGGACTCACTTGTTAGTTTTCTTTTTCAATCGAATCAACGAAAAAAAAACAATAGATGGTATATTATATTCATAAACAAACTATGCATTGATGATGAATGCAATGTTCGACATTCCGAAGTTTGATTTACAAGGGTTTTTATTAGAATTTGATATACCAGACACCTGAAATATATTGAATTCATCTGTAAATCGTTTTGTTTTAGAAAAGTCTCATCGAAAATCAATATCATAGAAACATCAAAACTCTTTACGAATTATATCAGTCCTACCAGCTTCTTATTAACAAGAACTGATTTCCATGGCATCACAATATTCAGATCATTCATCAGGCTATAATAAATCATTTAAAAACAATCGAATCAAGCCGCAACAATCATTTTATAATACGTATTCTGAAATAAGTGATGGTATGTTATTTTGAGATTGACTTTAGTTATTGAATTTGTTTCTTTTTTCAAAGCAGTTCGAAGTGCACCATCGATAAAATCGACAAAAAGACTTATTCAACCAGCAGAAATGTATGAATTAAAACAACCAGCAACAGATACAATCTATCCTTATAATCCAAATCAATCATATGATTCACAAGATAAGTATACTGGTAAACCTAACTACAATTCTTCTTTTTTTTTTTATAAATTTCGAAATCAATTATTTTTCAGATGTTCATTCTGATGGTGATCTTGAAAGAAATGAGAAATCGGTTAGAATATAAACATGTTTTTCTAATTAAAACTAAATATTTAGTTTTTAGACCTCATGTTGTTGGAAACCATTGTGTCTAGGTTTAACACGCTTTAGTGGTGGAATGCTATTTGGAACAATGATAGTAGTCGGTTTAGCAGCAATAGGTGGTCTTATTGCTTCAACTGTTTTATATGTTCTACGTAAATTCGTAAATCTCTTTTATTTAGATTTATGTATTTATTTAATTTAGATCCACAGAGTGATTCACAATGGAAAGTATTAGGTATAATTGTTTGTTCTGTAATGTTAATAACAATACTTATAACATTATGTGTATTTTGTTATTGTTCCAAAAATGGTGACATTACTAGTGATAACAATACAGCGAGTGTAGCAACACCAGAATATAATCAAGAAAATAATTTCAGAAAAATAAATAATTATAATCTATCAAAAAGTATATCACCACCACCATATGGAATGATGCAAAATACGCCACCATTATCGATTAATCAAGATGTTATTCAAGTTAAAGATAAACAAACAAATACTGAAAAAACAATCTCTCCCTTACGACCTAGAGATTTTCAACGCGGAGTTTGGCCAGCAATGAATGCATATGGAGGTTTATCTTCTCGTCCATTAGAAAAACCAAAAATGGTTAATCATTCTATACAAACAATTTCAAATGAAACTCACCAAACAATGTTACAACACAAGGTTGATGTGATCAATGTTGCATCGAGAAAGATTATTCGAATCCCAGATACTCATCATCAATATGATGAAGAAGAAGATCCAAATAGTTTTATTGAACAAAACTCACAAATTGGCAATGTCGAAAAAATTATTGAAAAACCAAAAGAACGATCAAACGAAGACGATGAAGAAGTTGTTGAATTAGCAAGAACAGGTGAAGAAAAAATTGGCAAGGAAAGAAAGAAGAAAAGACATCATAATGTTTCTATTAAACGTATAAAAGCATCTGAAAAACCAAATGTTGTCTAAGATACTTTTAATGGTGATCATTTTTATCAAAAAGAATTTTTTCTTTTCATTGTATTTTTTATTAAACAACGAAGAAAAAGGTTGAAAAAAAAATGCAAGCTTCTACACTTGACTAAGATTTTAAGGGTTTGAGTGAGAGTGGGGTATATGTGGAGAGACGTTCTGCATCCATACTCATGCCCAGGTATTCCCCCACATCCACACTCTCCGACTTGGATTTATATATTTTATACTAGTATAATTGAGCTGAAGGAAATATCTTCGTTTCACATTTCAGTTCTTCAAAAGCTATATTGAATGTATTTGTAATGTACCAATGTTTCATTTTTTTTAATATCGTGTTTCTCCTTATAATATGCAGATCTATTCGGACATGTGTTCGTATCAGTCTGTCAAATAGGTGTCGAAACTTTGGACTCATCAAAGGATAGATAATATCTTGTTCATTATCATCTTTTTCCTAGAAGACACCTGTTATGAATCTTTTAATAATGCTTTCACACTCTGTATAAATTTGTTTATAATGATACAAATACTTGTACAATGTATAGGTTTTTCGATAGAATATATTTCATTGGTGAGTGAATATAAAGAGAATGAGCAAACTGGACAAGATCACTGATGAATAAAATAGATATGAACAATCTTATCGTTATGTGTTTTGCTCATTTTCGACTGAAATGTTCAGTATGTATTGATTGATCAATCTCTAAGATTATTAACAATGCATTTTCAAGCTCATTTAACAATAGCTACTAGTTTTAGTATGATTATAACGTTTGTGATTGATTGCATTATGAATTCTTTACCATTGAGAAGTACTATTTTACAACGTTATTACATTAATTTTTATTATAGCTTGATTCTGTGTGTATATTGTATCTACAACAGAGGAATAAGTATACATTTTAGTATAATAATCTAAGCATCTACACTGATAATTATTTAGATAATACGACATGTGAATATTTAGTCTATGAACAAGATTTTCATTATCATATTATATTTGTATTATTTTGTTTGGCCAACGCATTCTTAAGTGAAAAAGTAACGAATTATATTCTCGAGATAATATTTACAGGCTTTGTTGTTGAATATGTTGTATATAAAGTGGCTTTTATGAATTCATGGTATAACATAGATATGTTGACTGTTTATTTATTTGTTTGGTAGTTGATTTCACTTGGATCTAACTGAATGTAGTTTGAACTTCTCTCAGTCATTTTTATCCAGAAACAAGGTTCATTTTGTATCATGATAGCATTGATGACGTGAATTATAGATTTTCTACATCTTCATTATATACCACGAAAATTCATTTTAGTTGGATTTCGGCTTTTTTTTGCATTGTGTGACATGTAAGTTCATCATCTCCTCGTCATTTAAAAAGAAGATTATTTATTAGATAAAATAAGAAATGAAAAAAAGCTCGCGACAATTTTCCTATCGATATATTTTTGCAACTACTTGAGCAATTTTAACAAATAAATTATTCTTTGTAAATTATAGAGCTTTTCATGAATTATTCGTGTAGAAAAAAAAATCTTTTCATAGCGTCAAAAATCAGTCGAACAGAATTTTGTTTTTTTTTTGAAAACAAAAAGTGCACAACTAAAATCAGCTTTACTTTGTAAATTGTAAAACTTTTGATACTGCATCTTGTGACATATTCTGTTTTTTTAATACAACGTATTAAGTGATGAAAAAATGAAATGCAGATTATGACCGTTTCATGTGCCCCACCCGTTATATTTTGCGAACGAAAAACACATATAACAAATTTCTTTTATTGACGCTCTTACTTCTTGAGCTAGAGCCTTTATTTTTACACAATAAGTACACTTTTAAATGCTCTTTAAAATGACTATTTATTTATTGAAATTGCTCAAGTAGTTGTAAAAATAAATCGATAAGACAATTGCCACGAACTTTTTTCCACACCTTAGCTTTGTGTGATTTCAATTGATAATGTATATCAGATTCAATTCGATCACAAACATACTATCATATTACACAATTCGTTTTTTCATTAAAAAATTTTTGAAAAACTGTCTTGACAGTGTTATCAATCATGTTGCAGTTACGAACAAGTATTAGACGACGCATTAGCATACTGTCATAAAAGATTAAATGTGACATCATACAATCAATGCTTAAAGAACGCATGTGAGTCTATATATTGATGGTAAGTTCAAAACGAGAAAGGGTACACGTCAGTGTTCGACTTGAATCGGGTCACTAACAGTTGACCGATTTCGAAGTTTTTATAAGACAAACGGCAATTTCAGATTAGATAATGGTTTCTTTATTTCGAATATTGAGAGAGTGTGTATAGATACACTGGAAAGATTGTAAACCTGTGAAAAAAAACTCATTTTTCTTGACAAAAAACATTTCAATCTCAGGCCTGGTTGGGTCACAAAAAATTGATCCCTCCTGAACACTGGTATACGTGTAAGCGTCTCGCTTCTTTTTGCCTTCACCATCACATTCACACTATTCTATCGTTATTTCTGGATTATAGCTGCGTTAACAGTTCTTTCAATAATTCCATTTACATTAATTCGTATTGCTGCAATAATTTGCACGATTACTAATGATAATTAAAATGTTAAATCAATAAGTCCAATTCAAACTACTATTGGAATAAAAAAAAAGAATTATTTGGTAAATGAGCGCTTCTAAATTTTCTTAATAGTGTTAGTTTTAATACAACAATGATAGTTGGACTTCGTTGTTATTCATCACTTGCTTTAAGATGATAGAAATCTTGTTTCGTTTCGGAAACAAAAACTTGGCTTATGATTTGAATAAACTATAGAAAAAATCTTAACATTCATTCACCGATAGAAAGCGACAAATATTGATGGTATAAAAATATATCTGATTGGTTAAACATAAAGAATTGCTATGTCCATGTCATTTATATTTGCTTTTATAAATGAAAAATGTCGTTATGTGAAATTCAACGTGGTCAATTAACTGGTAGAATTTATTCAACATCAAAAGGATTCTATCATGTATCAACAGATTCAACAAAACCTATTCATCGTCAAAAACAATCATTTATTCAATGGATTCTCTTGATTTTTATAGAAATTTTCTTACCTACAGGTTATCCAAATACAGTTTCTAGTGACTATCTTGCTTATCAAATTTGGTAAATTCATATTTTATTCATTTTCTATGAGTGACAGAAATTTTCATTTAGGGATACAATACAAGCATTTGCTTCATCGATTACAAATGCATTAGCATTTAGTGCTATTTTAGAGGGAATGGGTGTTGGTGATGAAAAAGCTTCAGTTCTTTCTGCTACATTTGTTTGGTTAATTAAAGATGGTGTTGGTATGTTAGGAAGAATTTTATTTGCTTGGTTTAATGGCACAGGTAATTTTTCATTTATTTAAAAAAAATTAAAATAAAATATTCTTTTAAGGTCTTGATAGTAATTTGAAAATGTGGAGATTCTATGCTGATATTCTTAATGATTTAGCTATATCACTTGATTTAATAGCACCATTTTTTAAACATTTATTATTACCAATAACATGTTTATCGAATTTATCTCGTTCAATTGTTGGTGTAGCTGGTGGATCAACACGTGCTGCATTAACACAACATCAAGCAATAGCTCATAATATGGGTGATGTATCAGCGAAAGATGGTTCTCAAGAAACACTTGTTAATCTTTTGGCATTGATTGTTAATATTTTTTTATTACATACAATAAAACGTGATCGTTTACTTGTTTGGTTTCTTTATTTTATGTTGACAACGCTTCATTTATATGCTAATTATCGAGCTATACGTACATTACAATTACGTACATTTAATTGGAATCGTTTTGTATTATTATGTGAATATTATTTTCGTAATGGTCAAATTCAAACCATTGAATATATCAATCGACATGAACCAATTCTTAGAGAAATGTATCAATCAATACGTTGTTATGTTGGTATTCAATTAAATGAAAATCATGTACAAACAATTGATATAAATCAATTTATTAAAAATCATTTTTCTATTTTATATAATCAAAATTCGAAACGCTTTGATGTTATTTTAATGGATAATTGTGATGATGGAGATTTAATTAAATGTTATTTTCTTCTTCAATATCTTATTGATTCAAAACGGTTTGATCAATTTTTAGTTACGTCATCGAATATATCTTGGATTGACATTGATCGATTACAAACAACAACAGCTCATCTTTATCAAGATTTTTTATTTAAAGCACAACAAATGGGTTGGGATGTTAATCAAGCAAAATTTTTGATTAACAATTATAGATATACTTCGAAATAAAGTTAAATTTTTATTGTTATTGATAGTTTAAATAAATCATTTTATTCGTATGATGACTTTCAGAGAAAAAGGTTCTATGATCAATTGTTACGATTTTTCTAATAAATGATAATCAATTAATGTGTTTGCTCAAAAAAAATATAAACAGTTGATCGAACAAAAAAATTGAAAGTGTTTATTTAAAGATCTTTCCATTTCCAGCTTTTTTTTAGAGAACGACTCATTAGAAACATTTGAAATTTTCAGAGCAGGTAAATTTGACGAGTAGGAAGTAAGCTATGATCTCGGATGCTGTCTTTTATATGATATTGGGATCACAATAGTGAAAAATGACTTCTCCATTTCTCTAAGATGCTATGTTCGATCGATCTGAAGTTTTCTTTTTACAGACACTGGACATTGTTTGAGATGAATATCTGTTTATTTTTTTGTCCTACAGATAAAAATGAAATGATTAGATCATAATATACTCATCAGTTTGTTTTTCTTGATAAAACTTTGTTCTAAGACAATAGAGTATAAAGTATTACAATTTGTTAGCCAAGACTTAAAACCATATTAATAGCTCTTATAGAATTCATTTTAATTAATTATAATGGGTTTGGTAAACTAAATATATCTCTCAGTATTTTTTTCAATATCATTGCCATTTCTTCTTATTTCATTAGTGAACAAAATAGAAGCGACAATCTGTTCGACAATAACCGGATGTTAGCATGGATACGTTTCAGACTTTCTGACAACAGCACACACATCTAGGGCTCAAACCGACTCCTACATCCACATTCGCAAAAAATCTGCATCGGGTAGGACTTCTGCCCAAAACGATAGCTAGTATTAATTGTTGAGAAGATATCAAGATTCTGAATCTGTTGATAGGTAGCACTTCATACTGAAAAGTGGCTGAAAGGCTGGAACATTCTTCCACATTGGGTTAATGTGCGTTCACAAAAAATCAACTCCAATGAAAATCTTTTATAAATTTTCATCTGTAATTTAAAATATTTACTATAAGTTTCACACAGTGAACATTAGTATTCCAATGCATGTATTGCTGTTGCTATACTACACTCATGCGTAGTGCAAAAATCAAAGTATTATAATATCTTAAGCGGTGATACTTTTAATCAAGTATAATTTATACAAAAAAATCAAAAGCAAAGTATTCGATCTTACTGAATCAAGAATATTAGCACTCCATAATGATCCAGTCAGCTTACCCGAATAAAGAATAGACTTGACACAAAGTAAATATTTCAAAAATCTGATTTGGGCATATTGAACCTATAAATATGATCTGAATAAGAATATAAATGACAAGTTCACATTCTGTCATCAAACTTTGACCTATTGCATGTCGAAGGATTTTTTAATCGTCTTTGCGAACCCTTTTCAAAGTTTTCTGATAATTAATTTTATTATTTCTTTCAAATTCGACCAATAAATATACTCTTATTTCGAATCGATTATCAAATACTGTCAATGATTATTCTTTGCTCAAAGCTTTTTACAACATTACATTATAAAAATTCGCAATTATTGTTGAGCTGAAATTGATTATCCACAACAATGATTTATTTTTATTAATCATACGTATAATAGGTCTCATATGCTATTCATAACCTCGCAAGGTACTACCTTCGAGAATATATTATTTTTATTTTATAATAGAAAATAAACTAAATGATAAATGATAAAGAATGTTTGAAAGAAAAATTAAAATGAACTCATATCATAAAATATTGTGAGTCAACATCATTAGAATAATGAGTTGATTTCTCGTGTTGATTATAATCACCACTATATTTTGAATCTTCCGTTGGATTATGACAATTTATGTTTATTTCTTCGTCATTTATAATACTATTTTTATTGACATCTGATAAATAAATGGAAAATAGAGTTGAAAAACATATGAAAAATATTTCTTTTTTACCAGTAGGATTTTTTGATATTTGATTATCCATAAGGACGCGTATTGGAATGTTTGTTGTCGAGTCCTCTAAAATGATACAAAAAAAGATTATATACATTGATCCATAAATCAGACATTACTATTTTGCATTATATTATGAATTGCTTTTGATATGGAAACTGTTTGATCTATATTTTCTGTAAAAAAAAAAATTAACAAAAAAAGAAAAAAGAATAAATAAACATACCACAAATATTACGATCTGATGTTGTGATTGTTTCCAGTGCACTTTGATTTTTAGTTTTTATCGATACTAATGATACTAATGTTATTGTTGTTGAATTTTCTATTCGTGAAAAATAATAATATTTTAATTTCATACATATCTATATAATTACATACCTATTAAATTACACCAATCAAGTTGAATTTGTTGACTCTGATACAAATCTAACTCAATTTTAGTTAAGAAACTTGATAGCTTCATAAAACTAGTTTTTAAGTTTAATTTTAAATTTTCTTTGCATTGAGTATTATCAATACATGATTGAGGATATTTTAGATGAGCATAAATCCAAAGTATATACGTTTGATTTTGAACATCTAATAGTGAATTCGAAATAGTCGAAGTAAAAAATTTCAATCTATTTGGTTGAAAATTTAATTGTTCATTAATCTGTTTAATATTTAACAATAAAATATTACGTTATTGATTTTATTATACATTACCTGATTTGAAAAAAGGCCAAGATGATTAATGATTTTTGTTGATAATCTTAATTTATTCTTTGAGTTCAATGAACCATGGAATACACTTCCTATGAAAATTATTATTTATAATACAGAATTAAATTTTTCTTACTTGAATTATTAGTGTAATAAGAAGGATTGAAAGATATTGTTATGATAAAAATAACGACGAAAAAACATGCAGTGATCATACACAAGCAAACATAATACGATAATCGAGGTCGTCTAATAATAAAAATTTTTTTCTTTTAAAAAAATTAATCGATATTTAGTTTCTTACTGATCAGTTAATTTCACAGAATCATCATCAGCAATCGTGTCTTCTTCATCTTCGTAAATTGTTTCTAACATATGCGTTCGGTAGTACATGTTCTATGCAAACCAATATGGCAAATGAATGTATTTTAAATGAATGTGCAGTCAAGTGAAGCGTTACTGGTTCGATTCGTGTCATTTTTTTTGTCGCCATATCTCGTTTTTTCTTGCAGTCGTAACGAAAAAAAAATATTTATAATATGATTAGTTTTTATATATTATTTTTTTCTTTCTTCTACGACACAAGATACATGCATTAGCATTTTTTATAGGCAATATATATTTGTCAAATGACTAAAATGTAACGAGAATATGAATGAGTTACTACACTCTGTACTTTGTAATTCACGATCTATTTTTTAAATCATGTATAAAGTTTTTTTTCTAGTTATTTCTTATTGATTTTATCTAGGCATTGTTTTTCTTTTCTTTGTCGTATTTTTCGTAGACCGATCAACGAATATATACATATTTTGTGCATATGATATAATGCAGTCATAATGGAGAAAATGTCAAATACACAAAATTAGTAATACATCTCAATGATTGTTGTTTTATAAAAATGTTCGTAATATAGAAATTGTAAAGAAGAGCTTTTCATTTTTAGTAAACGTGCAATATGTATATTGGGGGGAGAAGAAGGGAAATTTCAATTTCAATTCTAATTCTACTCGGACCTGATTCAGATTCGACTAAAATAGAATGAAACGAAAGAAACAAGAAAATTTTAATCATAGCGATCGTTTTGACGTGTGCACGATACGATCTAATAAAAAAATGCCTGCATCGGATTCAATAATCGATTGCAAATGTGATTGTAAAGACAAGTGCGCTACAAAACTAAGTTCATTTAAAAACGATGGAAACTTTTTATTCGATGAAATGTTATTCGAAACAAGTTGATCTTACACATATCGATGGATAGATAAATGCACATTGACCTGTAAAGTGTTTATGAAAATGCAAAAAAAAAGATATTGTTGAATAAAAATATTTATTCTATTTAGATTCTATGAATTTATCTCTAGTGAAAGTTAGGATTCCAGCTTTGCTTGAGGTAGTTCGAACTTTGACCCTATTCTAATCTTTCTCCTCACATGTACATCATAAATAATTTATGTCAAGTATTTTTTAATGAAAATTTATTTTGATCAATGTTAGTGTGATTTCGCATGCATTAATGATAAGCTCGTTAAAATATAATAGGTAAATAGAAAAAGGTGCAAAGGTAAACATACTTATAACAATTAGAACTAGCCTGCGTAATTTGTTTTTACATAGTAATAATAATAATAATATGATTCAATGGAAATCGAAGATTGTCTTCAAGAAAGTCATGTATATCAAAAAGATAGGATTATATGAAATAGTTGTTGATTTAATGTAATATGTATTTATTGATAATAGACAACATTTAGAACATTTTTAATAAATTGAATGAACTTGTCGTAGAGAATATATCAAGTCTTGAAATGTTATGATAAGATAAGTATCAATTAGGGAATAATAAAATTTTATCAATGTATTATGTACAATAATAACAACCAGCCATTAGAATGTGTAAAAAGCAACTTCGAGAAACGAATGAATAGATGGTGACAATGATTCTAATGAACTATTCGATGGGTCACCTTGTACTGTTGTTAAAAATACTGAATAAAAAAAGAAATGAATCATAATCGCACGATATTTAGTAACGTTTTGTCTAGATCTATGTTGTAAATTTTCTTATTCTTCTACTTTATTCAATAAATTTTTTTTTATCAATGCTGTAATTTATTATAATGAAAATGCTCTTTGTTTTTTTTAGTTCGAGATTTGTTCTTTCGATATTTTACTTTTCTACAGGATGGCTCAAACAATGATTTTTCTCTTAAGAAAATGTATTTGCTGAGCTCATAACATTCATTTTTTGAATCGATTTCTTTTTTAATAGATAGAACTGAAAAAAAAACAACTAAATCCAAATGTGTCTTTCTTTTGGACACATTCAAACGTTCGTTAAAACAAATGAGAAATTAACAAAAGTATGAAATTTATTTTGGAACGAATTTCCTTTCACTATATTTCGATCTTTTGTAAAAATTCAATAATGAAATAGTATGATAACGTGAAATTCTCAGGTTATATTTCTAGACGCTGGTACGTTAAGTAGACATAGATTATTGAGAATTATTGTCAGTTTGATAATATGATTAAAATATCTGTACAATAAAAGCAGCGAATATTTTTCATAAAGCAATGTTTCGTACTTATTCGATTCTTTCACCATTTGAATAAGTTTTGATTGCAATCAACTATATGCTACAGATAAAGCATTTTCATGACTGTGATAATATATATAAAATATTAGTACATTTTGGTAGTATAATCTGAAACAAGGCACGGCACGATAGAAGAGCACGAAAAACCAATTAGTATTAAACTAAAATAATTGTATGAAAAAATCTCTGTAAACATCCTTTTTAAATTGAAATCTTTTCCATACGCGGTACATTACGTACTCTAGAGCTACACATCATTTGAAGTCAACAGTAACTTCTAGAAAGAAAGAAAAATCTTTTGTTTGCTTTCTAGTGAAAATATATTGTTCCAGTATATAAATTCATTGAATATGAATTAATTATTTGTACCGAGTAACTGAATTCTCAAAGAGCAGAAAGAACGCTACGATAAGGAGTAAGTTTTTCTTGAGCACCCCCTGTACATTTTTTTTCTCGAAATTTTTTCTTTCTTTCTTTTATTTGCATACCAGATACATGAATACACAAACAACATAAACGGACCATAAATAATATAGTGGCAATGTATTATTCGGTATAAGTGTATTCAGTTAAACTAGTAAAAAAGATCCATATCTCATCTTCCAGTGACAAAGATATTCTACTATATTTTTATACTTACATACTCTATTTAAAAAATGGAGTTACTACTGAGAATTTGGAGGACACATGCTAGATTGACTGTCTATTCTAAGTAGTGACCAAACTTGATAATTTGTGAAATCTCTGATCTCTTTTCATTTTGATTAAGTCAAAAGTAATTAGTAGTATTCATATATCCTTTTTCATTATCAATATCAAACTTGAGAAATTATTTTAAGATTTGTTTCACAGTAAAATTTATATTAAACACTTAAAAATAAACAAATTTAATATTTAGCACTGATAAAGTTCGCATCATAATGACCAACAGAATCAATAGAACTCTTTTGATAACATATATCTCTATTAATATTCAATGTAAAGGCTATGCAATTGGCTGTTGTTAAACATAACATACAACATGTACTATAGTTCATTGGAAAGAATGATGAAAGATCATTACCAAGAAAGTCCGTACTATTAAAGAATGTCATATTACCACAAAAATATGGATCTAAATGATACAGGAAAATATTTTATAACGTGCCAGAATACAAATTAGACACATACCAAATTCAAACGACTTTGCCATTCGTGTTGCGCCTGAATAAAAAAAATGAATGGATTAAAATGTCTATAAATTAATGTATAACTACAACAGACTAGATTTAAAGTACAGAAAAAGACACTTTGGAATTTGAAATGAGAAACATATACACGTGAGAATCATATCTTACTTGTCGTATTTGTATTGATACCAGTAAAAACAAAAGTTAATGGTAGAACAATAGCAAGAATGAGTAAGAAAACGCCAATAATGCCTAGTAGTTGCGGTATTACCTTTTTCGTAAGATCTCTGGCATTTGATACATTAGAGTTTTTGTTTTCTCTATGAAAACTATTATTTAAGAATGAATACGTGTTAAATTCAGTCTTACAATGTAGGCGTTGTATGCCAAACCGAATGTTTATTAAGATCATCGACATCCTGATTCGAATAATTATTAAGATCATCGACATCCTGATTCGAATAATTATTAAGATTTTCGATATCCCAAGATGATTGAAACGAACTCATAGTTTATGATGATAAAAGTTATGAATTGACTTATTATAATCTTTATGCTATTTCTATGTGTAGGTGTAAAAACTTATCAAATAAAAAACTTTCATTATTAAAAAAAAAGGAATATTTTTACTTTATTTCAACAAAAACAAAAAGAACATATTGATTTATATTCTTTCATTATTTGGTGACCAAAATAAAATTGAAATACACAAATATTTAAGGCTTCGACATAATGGATAAAAATTGATCGTAGAGATGGTAAACTAAACTTGAAAATCAAATATATATATATATATATATATGGAAGCCTTTTATTGTTATTTGAAACGAAAAAAAAGTTTATTTTCTTTGTTTTAACCATATAATTAATACAATGCGAAAAAAAATTTGTTTTTTTTTATTTTGCAATATCACATAGTACATATATAGATTTTTGAATCGTAATCAAGGGAGAAACTCAAGAAATTACTTTCTCATCCGATAAGGCTAAAACTGCAACATAAGACTGTGTACCTCACATTGTCGAAACGAACATCACTGTAATCGAGATCATCGAAGGAAGATCACCGAATGCTTTTCGATCATCAATGTTCGGAAGTTTTGTTTCGGCGATCATTCCTTACGTTCACTCTTTCTGAATATTTGTTACATATATAGATAGAAAATTTTGTTCATAGATAAACCGAATGATTCTGAGGATATCCTGAACGTTTCAGCCAAAAAGAATGTTTCTTTATTGAGATACGGAGTTTTCAAAAAATGGTCGTTTGCCATCCAAGTTGAATTTACTTGAAAATTCAATACCTGAACAAAGGAGCATTCTTTTCAGCTGAAACTGTCAGGATATTTCCAGCATCATTCGACTCATCTATGAGCAAAAATTCAGATCGAAATTTCATAATTTGATTTTTCGGTAGAAACCGAAAACAGGATCAAAAGTTCAATAATACGGTTATAAATGGGCTCTAGGGACCGTTAGGCACGAACTCTTTCAGGATTTTTCTAGTCTTACCGACTGCTCGTTGTGAACTGAATATAATCTCAAACGATGGGTATCAGTTCGGATAGTCCCTCGTTAGCTCTAATTCAATTTAGAAACTTATGGTTTAAGTTAGTTGTTAACTAAGCACATCACTATAATTGTTAAACACAACTAACATTAATATACATAATTTTAGAACGTTTTTAATAATATTGGTATCATATCAGAATATTGTCGATAACTACAATTATCGAGATGAAGATTCTCAAGAACAGGCATTATTGATAGCCATATCTCCGAAACTAGTAGATTGCCGAAACTTGGTGATGTCACTTTCGACGAAATATATACTCAACCACAATACTTCCAGAAAGATAGCAGTTGTTTCTCGTGAATATACAATATTACTTGTTAACAGTCTTTCTATTCCAAGTCAAACATATAATTTTTGTCAATAATATTTAATATTTTTGAATCCTTTTCTTTTTGTATGCTTGTACTTCATAGATTAATACTCATGTTTAGTTTTATTTAATTGATAAATTCAAAATGATCTTGTTCAAAAATTGAACTCTTAAAGATTCATTTTATTATAAAATAAAATAGCTAAACCACAACGAAACCACTTGATGTACGTCGATAAGTACGTCGTCCAATTGTAATTTTTTCACCAACAGGAATTGCTGATAAATTGACAACATCTTCATCCAGTGTATGTAATGATCCACCAGTCTTATCAGCGAGATTTAACAATTGAGGATTTACACCAGCTACATCAACTTGGCAAGTCAGAACTTTAATAGGTTTTGTTACTCGATTTAATAAAACTAAATCACGTGGTGTTGCTTTATTGTCAGCAATATGAATTATATCCATACATGTAGGACACCTAATATGAAATACAATATTCATTTTATTTTCCTAGTAATTCTAGAAACTGACTTACATTTCAATACCATGTAAAATTGCTTCAATATCATTCTCTGGAATATCACCACCATTACCATTTTTCATAGCCGATTGCATTGTTGCTAAGACTTTATTTAAATTATTAGCAGACATACCATAAACACCACCAGTTGAACCAACTTTCTTAGCTGAATTTAATTTGTCATCACCATCATTAAAGAATACATAATATCTGATATTCTTTGTTTTATCTTGAGATAATTTCATCCATTTATAAACACCAGCTGCACATGGTTGCATTGAACCAGTTACATCAACAACAGCTAGAATATCAGTCCAATTATTTCTACTAAGAACATTTTCAACAACATGTTCATAGTTATTATTATTTCCATTAATAATACTTTCTAATACACTTAAATCAGTTCCTTCACCAACATGTTCACATCGAGAACCATAATAATTTTCCGTACATAAACAAAATAAGTCATCTTTACCCGATGGTTCACATAAGCCCTGAATAGAGAGCCAGATGGAATTAGAAATTTTTCATGTGAGAATAGTGATATAATCTTTAAAAAACCGGAAATGTTAGTTCCGATGGAAACTTACATTTTCACTATTGAGATTCAAAACTAAAAATTGGGATCAGAAGCTACCCTACAAGATGCCCTATTTGAAGTTGCTGATTTTTGTCGTCAGGCAAGGCATCTTAATTTTCGGTTTTTCTTAAATAGTCATTTTTGAAAAACCGACAATTGTTTTATACTCAAAGAAGCTCTTGAAAAAAAACGCCTGAGTAAAAACTATAGCATAGTGCAATGTTGCATTTTCTAGAGAAGTGTCTGCACTACAAAATGATCGACTACGAAAGTTTTTCGCATGTTTGAAAAGGGACTTAAAAGACAGATAAAAATGTGTTGATTCACAAATAAAAGTAATTTTTCAGATCGTTCAAAAAGTCCTTCAAAAATAGACACAAAGTTTCTAAGCCCATATAGAAATTTCGCTCGATATCTACAGCTCATTGGGTAGATTATTGCTTTGGGTTTTACTTACACCATTTTGACATGGATTTCCTTTGGAACAACCATTTACTAATTCTTCGACTGGTTCGACTGGTTCAACTGGTTCAATTGGTTCAATTGGAGTAGCTAAATAAATATAATATTATGTAATACATGCACGTCTGAAGGATAAATATTCATACAAATGAAAACACATCGTTCTTGAACTTGTGACCATGACAATCCAGCAGGACATGGTTTATGATACGGAATAGAATTGAAACAATGATAAAACATCTTTGACGATAATGCATCACTGAAAAATCCAGTTGGTCTTGGGCAAACAAATGCCGCATCAGTTGAAACAGCGACAATGAAAATAATGAATAGGGATGACAATAACATTATTTCAGAAAAGAAGTAATCTAATCGAATAGAATCTCTTTCTTTTTATAAATAATATATTTTAGAAAAATAACACATCATATTGTGAATGTTAGCAGGTGTCACAATAAGAGAACGAAATAAATATCTGCTTCGATTTTCAAAAAGAAAAAAGATAATCATTCGTCTTTGAGTATAAAGCATCCATATATGCAAGATAATAGTAAAAAAATGTTGTTTTGTTATTTCTGCGTGTAAGATTTACACTATCAATTTTCAAACATCAGAATAATTTTTAGATTTAACAAAATAGCGTCTGACTCTTCTCTTAACTTTTCAGCATTCTTTTTTAAAGTTCCTAGCAATAGAGTTTAACAGCCGATATGATTCAAGCGCAAGTGCCTAAAAATGAGTGATACTTGAAGTTAGCACACGAGCAGTGATCACCTCTAATTAGAGTGCTTGATAAACATTATTGATGTTATTTTTTCGTATAAACATGTTGTCATCTGTATGAAATATTATTTATTCTATTGTGTTCTTTAGCAAACATCCAAATATGATGATACAATAATAAAATATTCGTTTCAGAAAAAATGATTACACAAATCATTCTTCAATCTGAATTTGAGACCAACAGACTATAGTAAAATAAACATTTGTTATCTGCATGTTCGTAGAAATATTTTTTTTAAACAAAAGAATTAACATTTTAAATAATATTTTCTCACATATTATTCAAAAGATAACATACATATATATATTTTTTTGACTAGTAGAACACATACAATCTTTTTACTTAACAATCAAATATCAAGACCGGTTTTTGAATAGTCATCATTTAAGTTACATATGAATATACAAAAAAAATAATAAACAGTAAGACAAATACAGCTATATCTGATTTTTAAATACTATTAATAAGACTTTCAACAACATTAGCTTCCCAAATTTGAAATGATGAATCTTCAGCAACAGATGCAATCATAGGTCGTGTTGGATGCCAACTTATATCAGGTATACGTGAATCATGTCCTTTATGATCAAAAATAACTTCATCATTTGATTTAAGATCCCACACAAATACATGTTGATCAGCACTACTTGATGCAAATACACTTGGAGCTAATGGACTCCATGCTACTTCAAGAACACCATCACGATGATGTTGTTCAAAACGTCGAACTTCTTTAGATAAATTTCGCATATCCCATAGAGCAATTGTTGTATCATCCGAACCAGTTAATACAGCATATTCATTAACTGGATGAAACGCTAAACAATTACAATCAGCTGAATGAACTTTAACACGAAATTGGAGAGTTTTTGAAGATGATGTTGTTGATGTTGAGGATATTAACGGCTCCACAAGTGCTGCTGTACCTGATGATGCACGCAAATCAGTTATAAGTAAAGTACCTGAAGCGGCAGCTGCACCAAATACAGCTGGATGACTAAAAGAAACAAACCAAATGCTTTTCTTGTCATAAATATAGCAGAGGTCCCAGAAGAAATTGCAATAAGTCTCAATGAACTATTGTCTCGTTCATTAATCATTAAAAAAGATAGCAAAAGCATCAGGACAAAGCCCTTTTCTGATAGATTTCTGCCATCCTTATTTTCTAATCTAAAACAATTTAAAATTTTTTTCATAGAGTAAATCTGTCTTTTGAAAACATAATTTTTCAAAGTACACTCAAACATATCGACACTTGTTAATTTCAAGTCTGTTTCTCGGAAACCTTGAAAAGCTCGTAGAGGCAGTAGTACAAAATATTCTATCTATTCGTATTAAATAATTTACTTTTAGCATCGATTTTCTTAAAATCAATAAGCATCTACAAAGAATAGGAAATCACAGTTGAATGCTTCAATAGATGTGAATCTTTTAAAGAATAGGGGATGTGAGGACGTTAAGAATGGCATCGGCCATCTCTCGACATTGAGTTTATTTTTTCTTCAATACTCAATTTGAATGTCAGAAATCAATTACTGTTTAAATTATACAATTCGACATCATGCTGGCAGCGCGCTGTTAACGTTCTCGAACATTTTGTACTGAAGTAAAATATCTTATTCACAAATTAATTTCGCCGGAAGGTACCATTTTGTAGAGCTTCAAAAGGACTATTGAATAGAATCTAATTCAAAATAGACCACTGCTATCATGAGTACCCTTACGGTGTATATACGAGTGAACAGTATCATCAAAACAAATAAGGGAAACAAGAACTATCGTCTCATATTCCTATAAGTCATACGATAGAGCAAAAGAAAAGCTTTCATTTGATATATGATCCGAATTGACAAAGAGTTGACGACAAGAGGAAAACGTTCTATTTAAATACTACATTGCATAATACTATAAGAGATCAATAATATCAAGTTTTAAGTCAGCTATACATAACCCGAACGAGATCTTATTATCTAATTCGAACAGTAATTGACTTCTAACATATGAATAGAGGTAGTGATGCAATTGATTCTCAAACACACATGAGAGTAAATATATTTTCATACCTTGGATGCCATTGAATAGCATCAACAAGTTTTCTTTCAGAATCAACCGTTTCAACTGGATCAATTATTGTATTACATTCAATACCATTATGAACTGTTGCTGTTGTTGTTGAATTAATAGGTGTTTTTTCTAAATTCCATACACACATTTTTCCATCTTGTGCACCACTTAATAATAAACCTTGTTGCATTGGATGCCATGATAAAGCAAAACCTTCATCTGTATGTCCACGTAAAATAGCTTGTGGTCGACATATACCATCTGGATTTAATTTGCTTGGATGTTTACTATAATCAAATAAGAAAACATCATTAATCGATGAAAAGCTTGCAATTTTAAATGTATTTTGAGGCATAGCACGTGCTTTATTTACATCACCAATATGATACATTGGTACATATGGATGCACTAAGAATATTTAAAAAGAAAAATTTAATAACAATAATTTTTATACTCAAGAAAAGAGTTTATACTTGATCCTCGAATGCCCATTTCATATCCACCATGTTCACCAGTTAATTCATCAAAACCTTGACTTTCTTTTTCTTATATTACCCATTAATTCATTACGAGAATCAGTTGGCGTACGTCCACCTTGTGTACCAATAATTAAACGATAATAATCACATTTAGGATCACCTTTAATTGTATGTTGATCAAGCCATTGAACAGTTGGTGATGGACATTCAAGTAATTCATAAAAAAGCATATTATATAAATAAAGAGAATTTTTTCTCCAACGACAAAATTCACTCGATTGAAATACTTGATCATAACCATCACTTTCTATATCATCTTCTTGTTGAATTTCTATATTATGTTCTTCAATTGGAATAATAATAGGTTCAACCTCCATAATAAGAATAATGAGAAGAAGAGGAAGAAAAAGAAAAATTCTGCAAAAAAAGAAAACCAAATATAAACAAATTTGTTAATTATCACCATTGTACACATCCGTTGTATGTTGCTTTCAACTTATTTATATATAGAAGACAAACAAAAAAAGTGCACGAATGTATGTGTAGAAAAGAAAGGAAAAAAAGAAAACAAACAAACAAATAATGACAACAATACAATTAGGCACAAAGCACTAGTGTCAAAAACAAAGAGAGAAACATTGGTTTTTTTAGTTTATTTTTATTTTTTTGGCTATTTATACAGATGAAACAAGAATTCTTAATGAGTTCAATTGTCTTTTCATCAATCTCATTGAAAAAGAAAAGAAAAACAATATAAATTATATTGTTTTCATCATTTTGGATTGAACCATGTTTGCCAATTCGATGTTGGAGGAGCACCAGATGCCGTATTTGTATTTGGTGTTAAACCAGGTGGTGTTTGTTGTTGTTGTTTACCTGTTGCTTGTGGATAAAGCTGAGATGGTGCTGCTATTGTTGCTGAAGTTGTTGTTGATGGAACTTGAGACTGTTGTTGTTGTTGTTGTTGCATATATGCTTGACATTGCATCCTAATGTTATGGTTTTTGAGATATATTAGTCACAAGATGTCCCGGTACCGGGTAATAAGTATCTAAACTTCAATCCTTTTGTCTGATACATTGACTATACATAGGAAGAGCTCAGTAAACCTTGATCACAAGCAGCAACCCGAGATCAATATACTTCAAATATTTTCTTCTAGAACACATAAGAAGCGTAAAGGCTAAACAACTTCCGGATTTTTTAACCTCGATCAATTTGATGGAGTTAGTATTAGCGATAAAAATCAAAAATTGAAAAGCTAATATCCAGAAAAGGAGGTCCTTAATGCATAAGATTTACGAAAAAACCACTCTTTTTTTTGTAGGTTCTGAAGGCATTAACTTTTATTTTATTATTAACAATTAGAAATTTGCATGCCTGTATTGTGTTACAGATAGGTTACTTCAATTCAATGTAACCTTGAAGCATTTATTAGTTCACGGCTCTCAATAGAGAAAATTAGTCAGAAATATAGATCACTTTTCGATGGGTTCGATTCAATTCTTATGTAGAGATTATTCAAAGGCTATTTCATAAATCAGAAAAACAAAACCCATCTGAAATAGACCTTTTATGGGTGATAGAAGCAATACTGAGCTGTCGAATGAGATCTATTTTCTATGTTAAGATATTCTCGTCTAAAGAAAAATTCTATGTTCACCCTCTAGCTCCTTCACATGAATGTCAGTCAAGTCCTTGTGATCATTGTTCAATTATGCTCTATTTGGTGTCAAACTATGAGACTAAAGGATGAAAATTTAGATACTTTTTAAACCACTGTATCAATTGATAAATAATTTCAATCGATTATCATACTTACCAGTATTGTGTCCATGCACTATTAGCTTGATTTAAAGCACTATCTTGTGTATTACCAGTAGCTGCAGTCGTATTTGCTGGTTGTTTTAATCCTGCTGTTGCTCCTAGATATTAATGGTTATATCAAACTATCTATTGTTGTTTTTTCTAGAACTATTTTTATTATTAACCTGTTTGTGGTTGTTGAAATTGCTGTTGAGTACTCATCTGAGTAGATGTTGGTTGAACAGCTGCCTGTTGTTGTTGCATATATTGCCTTTGTAGAAAAGAAAATAACGAATGTGTGACGTAAATCTTGTTTCAAATTCTTACCAATATTGTTGATAATACTGTTGCCAAGGATCTGTACTTAAAGCATTAGCTGTTGCTGCTGCGTTTGCACCTGTTGCAGGTGGAACTGGTTGTTGTGCTGGTAGAGCAGCAGAACTACTTGGAACTGAAAAACAACAAAAATAAATCACAATTGATTTAAACAAAAAAAAAGAATTTACCATTCGTATTCGAGGATTTATTACCAGTTTGAGAAGGAACAGGAGGTACACCTGAATAATATTGATTGGCAGATGGTGGAGCTTGTTGTCGATGAAAATCAGTATTACTACCATAGAATGAATTAGGTGGTGGAGGTCCTGATATATTTGGACTTTGTTGGTCATTCGAAGCCAGTGATAAAAGAGATTGTGTCATTTGCGAATTTGGTGGACCTTGTTGTTGTTGATTGGGCCAACCGAATTGTGATGGTGGTGCACCCTGCGGAAACATACTTGATGGTGGTTGTTGAGAAGAATATGTTGATGACATTGTTGGACGTGCTTGACTAAATGTTGGATTTGTTGGTTGATTCATATAAAGTGGTGCTGTTGTTGTTGTTACATTTGGAAGAGAAATATTTGGTTTTGTTAATGGTCGATCATCCTCATAATCATCTTGTCGATCACTAAAACGACTTGGACGACCACCACTACGAGTATTATGTTGTTGATAAGATGGATTATTTATATTTGGTGGATAAAAATCAGAACGATTATGTGGTGGTGGTGGTCCTTGATTAAAATTAGGTGGTTGTTGTAAATTTGTTCGATTATGCTGATTTGGACCCATTGAATCATAATTGCCAGTTTGAAAATTGTCTTGAAAAGGTCGACTTTGAGATGGTGGTGGTGCATCATAATTTGGTCGTCCATCTCGATTAAATGGACGATTATCTAAAAAAATTTAACAAAATAAATTTTCAAAGAATTTTTTTTCAAATAGTTACCAGGTGGCAACTGTTCATTAGGTCGAAAATGACCGCCCATATCATGTTGACGATCATGAAAACCACCTCGACCACCACCGCCACGTCCACCTTCTCGCCGATCATGCCATGGTGGTTGGTTATTATCAGAACCAAATCGTGATTGATGTGGTTCACGTGGATTATTATGATGACCACCTCGGCCTCCTCCTCCACCACCACCTCTTCCTCCTCGTCCACCACGACGATCATCTCGTGAAGGACCATGTCGATCACGATCACGATCTCGATCACGTGGTGAACGTGAACGATCTCTGAAACACAACGAATAAATTATATTACAATGAGTATTGAAATTATTCTATAAGATTCAAAATAATAATTGAAATAGAGAAAACTGTTTCGGAAATGAATATAAGAGAATAACAGCTATAATCAGATATTCAAAGAAAGAGACTTCAGAAAGTCAAAGCCTTAAAGTGTGTAAATGTAAATTTGTTTAAACTGCATAGAATGATAGAGCCAATGGATGCTCTACAAAACAAGACTTCTCCGAATTTTCGGCAATGATGTTTCAAATTTTTCTATAGAAAACTCAGAAAGGTCTCATTTTGTAGAAAATGATTTCTTTCATCGTTCTGTTTTGTCTAAACAAAATCCTAGTCTCACGCTCTAGGGATTTGATTTTCTGGAGTTCTTGTCTTTGAAAATCTGATAATAATCTTTACTTCTTGATATTTATTTTAGTAACAATGTTTCCTACGTGAATCATTATTTGGAATCTGTCTAACATTGACGACAGAGAAAATTGATCTTGCTGAATAATTTTAGATATTCGTTGTAAATTAGTTTTGAATATAAAATAGTTAAAATATACCTATTAAATGAAGATGATCGATTAAAACCGCCTCGACTTGGTTTACGAGAATCTCGATCACGATATCGACCTTCATTGTCACGAAGAGATGAATGATCTTAATAGATAAATGCATATCTTATTGAAAAAAACTAATTAGAAAAAAAAGAATAGTACTATCTGATCGTGTATTTAAATTATCTCCATGTTGATGATCTTTGTGTGTTTCTATTGGTTTGTTTGATTCAGACCCAGATGGTGGTACGCCTAAAATAAATTTTATTTCCAATGTCAAATAGAAAAATAAAAAAAGCTTAAAAATGTACTTGAACTTTCAACTTGTACCGATAAAAGGGATGGCAATGAATTGTTACTAGCATTAGCTGTCATACCTGGTTTTTCATTTGCAAAATCAAGTAATGGAGGTGGTCCATCTGTTGAACCTTGTTTTGAACCTCCTGAATGACGATAACGATCATCTCCTGATGAACCACGACCAGCATCACCTTCTCCTCGTGAAAATGGCATTCGTCCTCGACCTCCACCACGATTATTATCACGATCAAATGATCGTAATGGTTGTTGATCAACATCAAAAAGACTTGGCATTTTCGATTGGCCACCATCACCACCACCACCACGTTGTTCATCATAAGATCGATTAAAATTATTATTAGTAAAACGATCACGTTGATGAAAATCACCACGTCCACCACGAGAACCACCTCGAGGGCCAAAACCACCATCACCACCACCTCTTCCTCTCATTCCACCTTCACCACCACCTCTACCTCGCATCCCACCACCACGACCTCGACCACCCCTACCACCTTCAAAACGATGTGATTGTAAATTTCGTTCCTAAATGAACAAGAAAAAACAAAAGATTGATCTTTCCTATCGAATAATTGATAGTTAACACATACGAAATCAGGCACATCGTCCATCAGCGAAGGAGGACCACCGGAGCGATGATGTGACGACATGATGAATAAATTGTTACCTTAAAAAACCTATAAAAAACAAACAAACGAATATATAATATTTTCCTTTCTATCACATTCATCTTTTCGAATACACTAAAGTTCTTTTTTTTTCTTATTTTATGTAAATCTATAACTAAATCAATATTAATTATATCATTTTTGATAAGATATTGTATCATATGAGCAAGTATATACGATCAATATTCTTTTAGATTCTAAATAATAATAATAGATGCGCAACTTATTCAATCATATCATAAACAATTATCTTTGAAAAATATACAATACAGTTAATGTTTCCGGTAAGACACTTATGACTACAAAAAGAAGGATTGATGTAATATATGTTATGTACAAATGGGTTAATAACAATCTATTTAATATTAAATTCAATAGATCTTATATATAGACAAGGTTTATATGTGCATCAAAATATTACAGTAAACAGAACACTTTTTAATTGTTCTGCATTATTTACAGATCTTATTATATATAAAATGATATATAAGGATCAGGAAGGAATATTATAAGGAATTCTAAATGATTAATCAAAATAGTTGATCAAACATCAAGATATCAATTCAATCAGAGATGATAAAATATTTAAAACAAAGGATATAATATGTGATATATTATTATCATATCGATTATTATGAAGAAAAAGAAACAATAACTTGAGTTTAAAAAAATATGATAGAGGACATAGATTGTAAAAAAAAACGAGTTACAGACAATAAGGATATTGTACAAAGTTATCAAATATTTCAATTTAATAAATAATCTATGTTATACTAGGCAATATAAAATAATAATTCAATCAAGTTTTTATACAACAATGATTTCGTAATATTTATAGTTTCTATAAATAGGCATTTTATAAAAAGTATGAGTTTCTTTGTCATAACATAACACAAATGGTGTTATAAAATAGACAAATCAAGGGGATTTATAGGCATCTTTTAATTGGAATAAAATATGTTTAAAAAAATAACCGAAATCCCGGTCATTTCATCTTATTATAGAAATGCTGATCTCGTAAACTTTAAAATCTTATACCTTCGATACTTATTGATAAACCTAAACAATCTAGAAGAATAAATTATTTCTAAAAAATTCTAAAACTTAGGAACCAATGATAAACGATTCTTCCATGTTTTCAAAAGAACAAAAGCCTTTTTTTTTCCATATCAATATTGACAAACAAAATCATTGAAATAAATCTATTGGTTATTAATATTCTCGAATGAAAATTAACTTGAATAGAATTCCATTTGAAAAAAAAATTAATTTTTCTATGAAGAAATATTTTCTTTTGATTATTTTAATTAGAAATATTTCAAGAAAATTTTTGTTTCGAATTTTTCCTATCGGAGGCCAAAGTGAATTCAATAGGGCCATATTATTTATTTATTTTTTTTTTAAAGAAATAACTATTCATGTCCACTTTTGACTAACAATTCATACATTTTTTAGTCCATCTTTTTAGATTTCGATTTGTTCATAAGATAAAACCATCAACATGGGTCGTATGCATGCTCCTGGGTAATTATTTTCTTCATTAATTCTTTTATTTAATTAAAATCTATTTTTCTTTTTATTTAGCAAGGGTATTTCAGATTCTGCTTTACCCTATAAACGAACTGTTCCATCAGTAAGTCATTTCAAAGATCAATTCTATATGTCATTTGTTTTTCTTTAATGTAATTAGTGGCTCAAATTAACATCGGAAGATGTTGTTGATCAAATTTGCAAATTAGCTAAAAAAGGTTTAACTCCGTCACAAATTGGTAATGATCTTTTCTGTTTATTTTTTTTTCCAAAAAGAAAACACAACTTTTGTTTACTTAGGTGTAATTCTTCGTGATTCACATGGTGTTGCTCAAACACGTTTCGTCACTGGAAATAAAATTTTACGTATTATGAAAGCTAAAGGTCTTGCACCCAGTAAACCCGAAGATTTACATCATTTAATTAAGAAAGCTGTTGCCATTCGTAAACATTTGGAACGTAATCGTAAAGATAAAGATTCCAAATTTCGTTTAATTCTTGTTGAAAGTCGTATTCATCGTTTGGCACGTTATTACAAGACGAAAAAAGTTTTACCACCAACATGGAAATATGAATCATCAACAGCCGCTGCTCTTCTTGCTTAAACAAATGAAAAAAATCTTTATTGTTTTTGCTCATTATAATATAAAAAAAAGAAAAATAAAAACAAAAGAATAAAGAAAATAAAACAAAATCAAAGAGAGAGCATGTTAACAACTGTTTCATCTTTATTATTATATTTCTAGATATTAATTTTAACTTTTTTTCTTTTTAATTAAATAAGTGCGATGGACGCACAAGAACTTATCCATATTCTCGAGCGAACAGTCACTGGATGTAAGTATTTACATTTAGAATTTCAAACAAATGCATATATATTAAATTTTATTATAGCACAAGCTGACTTGGAGAATGCACGAAATTTTCTTGCTAGAGCAGCTGAACAAAATTTGGTATGTTTATTTAAGTGGAATCATTTATGGAATGATTGAAAAAAAAATATATATATTTGTGTTTAGCCTCAACTTTTAATCCAACTTTCCGATATTTTAAATACTGCCACAAATAATCCAACAGCACGTACACAAGCAGGTAATCATGTTAATCTTGTCATATATCGTTGACAGAAGTATTTGTCATGCGTTCTCTTTCTAACTGATGATCGGAAAGTTTTTAGAATAAGATATTTGTTCACTTTTGACGAACTTCATTGGTTTCAAGTAAATGTTAGTTACAAAAATGGATTAACTACTTTATTGTAGTGTAGCGTATAATTGATGACAGTTTATTTCAATACTATTGAGTAACACTACGAATGCATTGGTTGACAGAATGTTTCATTACTGGATTTTCTCTTTGTTTCTACCTGCTAAATGTTTTACTAGTCTGAATCATTAAATTCTCTTCGTCATTGACTTGAAGCTCTTCTGAGAATACAGTACAGATATCAACCAACTCATTGATAATCCTAGCTGCTTGTATTAATTCAGATACATGATACGATAATAGCTACAGCTTAGTTGAATAACGCTTTTTGTAGAGAACTATTCGCTATATAAAACGATCGGCTGCAACAACTTTTCATACGCCTGAAATAGGACTTATAACGTAAACAAAATTTGACACAACATTTCCAAGCCCATATTTAATTCAAGTTACGATTTATAGTTTTTGCTTCGTCTGATATGCACTAAGAAACATGTTCAAAGGAAACGTCGATGGGCATGTTCAATCTTAATTAAGTTGTTTGAACTTTTGAAACATTATTTCACTTCATTCAAGGTCTCGATTAGACTATCTCATAAGCGAAGTTTTATCATTTGTGAATATCGCATTGTTAAGATAGGGATGTATAAAAAAATGCATATCTTAACAATGTGATATCTGAAACTGATGAAAATTTGTATATGAGATACTGTAATCAAGACTTTTTTGAACAGAGTTTTGCATTGAAGTTTCCAAATATAATTTTTTTTGAAAATGGACTTTCTGCAGGAAGAGTCTACTGAAAAGTCGCTTTTCGACCAAGTATAAGTTAGAGCAGAAATCCTTTGAAGGTTACACCACACTAATGGTCGCTAATATATTAGCAAATTATGGTGGCAAATGTGACGAATCATTTGGAAATGTTCTCTCGTAAAGCCATTTTTGAAAACAGTACAAAATTATAGCTTTTAATTCATTGTAAATACGTGAAAATTGAATAAACATGTTGTCTGAAAGCATTCCGATCACCTGTTACATCTATTCTATATTACTAAAATTAATATATTTTCTTTAATGAATGCGTAATAGAAATATTATCAAGATTTTCGTATTTAAAATGATAGCAATGTAGTTCTGATGTTTTTAGAAATTAAATAATCTTTGGTGGTATGTAAATTTTTGAATTTGTTTTCTAGCACTACAACTTAAAAATGCACTTTATTCACGCGATGATATAAAAGCTTGTCAAGAACGATGGCTTCTTATACCAGAAGATGTCAGAAATCATGTCAAAAATAATGTAAAATTTTAATTTAATTTTTTTTTGTCTTGAGATTCATTCTGATATTTTTTTATTATTCAGTGTTTCAATGCACTTGGTACTGAAACAACTAAACCATCACAAGCAGCTCAATGTGTTGGCTATATAGCTTGTGCTGAATTGCCACGTGGTCAATGGCGAGATTTAATCGGTAAGTTTTTTATTGAAATTTTTATTTGTTTTTTGTTAGATGAATGTCATATTATAGAACGATTGGTTGCCAGTGTTACAACTGTTGGAAAACCTGATCATATTCGTGAAGCAAGCTTGGAAACACTTGGTTATATATGTCAAGATATTGTATATTTTGATTCGTTTATCTATTTATAAATATATATATATATTTTTTTTTTCTTCTCTTATTAGGATTCAAATGTACTTGTACCTCAGAGTAATGTTATATTAACTGCACTTGTATATGGTATGCGTAAAGAAGAAACCAATGATAATGTTCGACTTGCAGCTACAACAGCTATGCTTAATTCATTGGAATTTTCAAAAAATAATTTTCAAAATGATGTAAGATTATAAATATATGCATTTGAAAAAAAAAGATAATAAAAAATAACATTTTTATTTCAATAGAGTGAACGACATTATATTATGCAAGTTGTATGTGAAGCCACACAATCAACAAATTTAAAAGTAAATTAAAATTTTTTTTTTTCGACACCCTAACATAACAAGAGTATTGAGATATAACAGTAAAAATTTGAGTTTCTTCTATGCTGTGCTAGATGATAGGTAGAGACCATGACAGGCGCTAGTCCAAGATTGTATCTCAATAATGTTTCATTACAATATATGAATCACTTCCTTATTGTATTTCTGATGGACTAAATAAAACGATGGTGAAGATAAGTGTCTGAAAATAGATAGAATAAAAAAAACATTCTGTGATTAGTAACACTAACTACATTGTGTTTCCCTTTTTTAAACTTGTGGCGATTGTACTAACAATTTTCATGTTTAGATTCAAGTAGCAGCTCTACAAAATCTTGTTAAAATTCTCACATTATATTATGATTATATGGAATATTATATGGGTCCTGCATTATTTGCTGTAAGTTAATGTTCAAATTTTTCTAAATATTTTTTTCAATATAAAATGAAAAATTCTCTTTAGATTACTATGGATGCAATGAGATCTTCACATGATGAAATAGCTTTACAAGGTATTGAATTCTGGTCGAATGTATGCGATGAAGAATATGAATTACAATTACTTCAACAAGAAGTATGAGTAGAAAAAAAAAAAGAATTATAAAATTTAATATTTTTACTTTTATTTATTATTATTTAGGCTCAAGAACAAAATCGTCAACCTGAACGAATAAGTCGTTATTATGCACGTGGTGCATTACAATATTTAGTACCTGTATTACTTCAACGATTAACTATGCAAGAAGAAACAGATGATGATGATGATTGGAATCCATGTAAAGCTGCTGGTGTTTGTCTTATGTTATTAGCTAATTGTGCTGAAAATGCAATTATTCAATGCGTATTTCCATTTGTTAGTGAAAATATAAAACATGACAATTGGCGACATCGTGAAGCTGCTGTTATGGCATTTGGTTCAATGTTAGAAGGACCTGATGTTGCAAGTATTAAACCAATTGCTGAACAAGCTATACCATTTTTACTTGAATTATTACGTGATTCAAATGTTGCTGTCCGTGATACAACAGCATGGACAATTGGACGTATATTTGAATTTGTTCCACAAGCTGTTATGAATGATGAATTACTTCGAGCTATTGGAAATGCACTTGTTAATCGTTTATCAGATGAACCACGTGTGGCAACGAATATTTGTTGGGTATGAAAAAAAATGAATTTAATAAAAATGATCAAAATAATTTTTTTTTTTTCTTGTTGGTATTTAGTCATTTTCAAGTTTAGCTCGTGCTGCTTATGATCATGCAGAATGTCCAGATGATGATGATACACCAAATACATATTTATTATCACCATTTTTTGATGAAATTGTTAAAAAACTTATTGAAACAACTGATAGGTAAAAAAAAGAAATGAAACATTTTTTTCTTTGAGTACTTTTATTTAACTAATTTTTTTTTTCATGTAGACCGGATGGTAATCAATCAAATTTACGTAATGCAGCTTATGAAGCTTTAATGGAAATGATTCGTCATAGTCCAAAAGTATAAACAATTAAAACTAAAAAATTTTTCTATTTCTTCTTTCATTTAGGATTGTTATTTTACTGTTCAAAAAACTACAGTAACTGTACTTGATCGATTAAATCGTGTTATATCAGTTGAAAATCATGCAGCCAATCCAAATGACAGAGTACAAATCAGTGATCTTCAATCATTACTTTGTGCGACACTTCAAGTAAGATAGAAAGTTTTGATCAATATCTTTAAGTTCAATCTAATGATTAGTACATGTGAAGACTTTGTTGTCGTATTCAGTAGTGTCTTATAACAAAAGCAGATTGCCAAATGTTACGCGCCGTTTTCAATCAGATATGTTTCAATTTGTAGAACTCGATGAAAGTAGAAGACGTCTAAAGTGGTTCATTCGAATTAAAGCCTGCCGTGTCCAAATATATAGATCTTGATGTGGGAGAGATTAGGATAGGTCAGCATCCTCTCTGGTAGCTTTTACGTCGCGTTTGCGACAACGGGGATACTGTGCTGTTAAGGTATCTTTTACATGAATGTCATGGCAACAGACAAACTGACTTTTGAGTTTGGATTGGAAACTTTGCATAAGAACAAACATCAACCAGAATAGTTTGTAGTGAAAGTTTCAGCTCTTGTCACTGTTCTCATCCAGAGATGGAACTATCATCATTGCATGACTTATGTAAACTAACAGATTTGATGTTCTTATTGCAAAATAGAAGCAAATCAAAAGATCTGTCTCTAGGGATTATTTCCACAGCAATAAACTAAAGGACACAAACTTTTTTTCCGTAGGTATTCCTAGGTGATTGTTGCCTACATAATACACATAGTTTCAACTCGAAAGCAATTTATCAGTTGGAGAATCTTTTCTTGTGATGTATGATTTCGATTTCCAGACTGCTTCTAATCTTATCAAGATCTTAGTTCAGGAATCATAAGAACATCATTTTAAAACTCTTTATGAAAATTTGTTTCATACACAGAAAAAAAAATCTTATTTTAAATTATAAGATGTATAGAAAAAAAAAACTTTTATGATATTTCATCTTGTTTTTCTTTAGAGTGTTCTTCGAAAAATGCATCCAAATGATGCCCCACTCATATCTGATCCAATTATGCAAGCTTTATTACAAATGCTTAAAACAAATAGTGGAAAAACAAGTGCTGTACAAGAAGATGCACTTGTTGCTATTGGAACTCTTGTTGAAGGTATTATTATTATTATTATTCTTTAGTTTTAAATTTCTCATTTTGTTAATTATTTCTTTTTTTAGTCTTGGGAATGAATTTTATTAAATATATCGATCATGTTCTTCCATTTATTTATGAAGCATTAAATAATCATGCTGAATATCAAATATGTGCAGCTGCTGTTGGTGTTGTAGGTGATTTAAGTCGTTCTTTACTTGATAAATTAGCACCATATTGCGATCAAATAATGACTCATTTACTTAATTGTCTTGGTGTAAGTAAATAAAAAAGAAATCTAATTTAGAAAAATAAAAAAAAATTTTGTTTTTTCTTGTATTCTATTTTTTTAAGGATGATAAATTACATCGTTCAGTTAAACCTCAAATATTAAGTACATTTGGTGATATAGCTTTAGCTATTGGTGGTTATTTTAAAAAATATCTTGAACATGTATTAAATACACTTAATCAAGCATGTCGTGCACAAGTTTCAAAAAATGATTATGATATGATTGATTATTTAAATGAATTACGTGAAGGTTGTTTATCAGCCTATACAGGTATTATTCAAGGACTTCGTAATTCAGTTACACCAGCTGGTGATGCATCATTAGCACTTGCTGAATTACAATTAGTTACAGTTCAATTACCATTTATAGTGCAATTTCTTGAAACAATAGCACGTGATCCAAATAAATCTGATTCAATAATTGGTTCAGCTATTGGTCTTATTGGCGATCTTGTTACATCATATGGTCAACAAATGATACAATATGTTGACAGAGATCCAATTGATAAATTAATAGCTGAAGGAAAACGATCAAAAATAATGAAAACAAAAACATTAGCAACATGGGCAATGAAAGAAATTCGAAAGATCAAAAATAATTGAACATATTTCGTATGATTTATACATAATAAAGAAAAAACACTAAAAAAAGTAAATCCCGCGAGAGAGAGAACGCAACAGAAATAAAAACTTTCAAATCGGTGTGTGTGCGTGTATGTGTGTGTAGGAGAGGAGAGAATGTGTCTGTGTGTTGAGATACTTCATTTCTTCTTCTTTTTCTTTTTATTTCTCCTTTTTCCTTTTCTCTGTTAAACAGACTTCTCTAGCTTATCTTTACATTAGGTAAATTCTTGTACGATTTATTTAAGTTAGATCCGACTAATATAAAAGAAAAAACGATGACGCTGGTCGTGTTTATTATTATTTTTTTTCTCTGTGATCTTTTTGTGTCACTATTCATGTAAGAAGAAAGTTTTTCTTTTCGTCAAACGTGCCGGTGGTTTATTTTTGCTCCTTCTTATTATACTAGAATCTCTCACTGTTCCTGTTTTCTTTCTTCTTTTTTTTTTTTTGATTGACCGAACTATTTCATTAAGTGATTACCTTTCATCATTGTCATCATTTTCTTTTTCTTTCGCTTTCTTTTTTTTCTGCCTGTATGTGTGCTGCTGGTGCTGTGAATTGTGTATCTGTGAGTGTGAGTGGCGCGAGCGGTCATTCTCTATTGTGAGTCTATTTTCGTCCTGGAATAAAAACGTTCCTATCAATTGATTTTAAGTATGAAAATAGTCATTTTTCGCAACATATAATCTTGTTTTCATGTAAAAATCGATAAAAACTTAACGATAAAAGATATCAACGTTTTGATCACGAAAACGCGTCAATCTGTTTCTAATATTGTTTATGACAACTAGGGTCGGATATATGGTCCAGCTCGGAGCACAGATCTGAGTATAAATTTGTCAGGTGGGATATTGAGTGTCAAACATGATAAAAAAACTGCTGGTTCGGATCCCGAATGTGATCTCATACTTGGACCTGATTTGTCAATTAATGAGTTCTCGACGTTTGAAAATACTTTTATTTTTTCAAACTGCTAATGTATATAAAAGCATAACAGTCAAAGTCGGTTCGATCATGATTGAGCACTTTACGGTACATGGGAACAGGTCACAGAAGCTCAAAGCGATATTGTTCTACTAAAAATAACCCATTTTTAATGAAAATTCATTTACAAATGATGATTAATCATTAACCAAATACCAAGATACATGGAACGAAAAATGAATTTTCAGAAAGCTGAACATGTATTATCATGATAGAGAAAGGATTCACATATTATCAGAGCTTCAAGCAGGCCACTTTTTCATGATCTGACACAATTCAACGTTAGTTCAGCTCAACTTGACCTGGTTTGTCAAATTTTCTATGCCCACCGGGCTCGCAGAAACTTTCTATTACAAAGACTTTTTTTCTTGATAGAATTCGGAAATTATTGCGGTAATTACCAATGCACTGAGGATATCCTATAGCAGATAATCCATGTAATTGTCTTTTTTCAGACAGTCGTATGCTTTCTATGAATTTACTTGCTAATCAAACTTGAAGAGTTAGGTAAAGTGTTATTCGCCTCCCCTACTCTAAAGAATGATTTATTTTCGACGCATTATTTCTGTCAATTACATTTTCGTGCTAGTTAACGTAGCTTATGAAACAGGGAACATCACATGTGGAATAGAGATACGATCAGTTCAAGCAATTAATATGGTTTATTATATTTATCGTTCTTGAAATTCATGTAGTTCTTCTATTATGAAACATTTTAATTAAATGCTTCCATGTAAAATAGGCATAAAGTTCAGCAGAAAGTAAGAAAAAGGATAAAAACGCTGGTTCGGACGGTCCATGTGGAGTCCTGGTAGTTATAAAATAGATCGGATTTTAGAAGCAGCAAGAGACCGAGGGAATCCTGCAGAGGTGCAGAATCTTCCAAAAATCCAAAAATTTCCCCCCCACGCAAAAAAGTTTTTTGAAAAATTTCCCCACTGTATTTTTTTTTGGCCAGCGGGTTTTTCCAAAATTTCCCTATTATTTGAGTTTTTCAAAAAATTTCCCTCCCCGCGCGGGGGCGCATGAGGAAGATTCTGCACCTCTGGAATCCTGATTCAGTTACTTCTTTTATGGAATTGGAGATGATCTCTTTTTTTTTGTTGTTGTTTATGAAAGAAACAAAATAGTATACTTTTGATGTAAGATAAAAGGTTGAGAACCATACTGTCTCAAAGTATTTGCCGGATGTCGATTCTTTTATGATTATTATCTTTGGATCAATAGATTTACTAGAACTTTAAAATATCAATTAATGAATATTTGTGTAACTTTTTTTTTTATTCTTTCTTGCCCATTGAAATTTTCATAATGTATCAATAGGTTTTGGCAAACAAAACCGCTTATATTGCACAAATAATACGTTGAATCAATGTGTTTCTAATAAATAATATTTAGAATTTTCTATCTTTAGATAGACGGCAACGAATAATACAAGATGATATATTTGACAACTGATTTATATAAGCCAGTGGTCCATGTAAATGATCCATTAAAAAATGATGTTTGATGTTATAGCAATGATTTTTAGATTCAACAGTATGACTCATTACGGATATGTTTTCATAGAAGTCGATGATTATGCATTTCTCTATCTTGATATGTCATTTTTATCGTGGTTAACGAAATTGATTAATAAGAAACAGTCAACATTCTTGATAGCCAACTCAAACAATAAATAATTGATAATCCTGAAAAATTGATTCAACTTCATTCACATATGTATACATGTTGGTTTTTAAAGAAATTCCGATCACCGAATAAAAGACACAAAGAATTCTCTCATCGTTCACACTTTTAATAGGATTGCATATATTTTTTTCATATATGCATCAGCTAATTAATTAATTTTATTTACTTTAATCAATAGTAATGTTCTTCATAATTATACTAATACATCTAATGAATTTCACATAAAGATAATTAGAAGTATGAGCTGTTGCATTGATCGATGGATGAAAACTGTAGATAGCTTTTTTTTTTAAATTTTTGTAATTTCGAGAAATTTTGAAATGAAATCAATGATAGTAAAATACGCTCTAACCCGTCTCGATCATCGTTCGACTCGACGAGATTATTAATAGAAAAGCCTATAAATTCTTCATTCATAAGACCTCACACCAAGCCATTTCTTTTAAATATGTTTCAACAAAGGAAAATACATGGGTGTAAGATCTAATGACTGGAGAATTCGAGGGTCTATCAATTAACAATCTGTTCAGCTTAAACAGTGCTTAGAGTAGACTAGACTGACTAAAATGAAACAAATTCTGATTTTTATTAGACTATTCGATTTTGAGTCAGGATATCGTAAGATGCGTTGCGCTACAGTGTTATTCTAGAAACCTACGTGTATTTTCATATAAAATAGTAAGTATAAATTTTAGATCGGACTTCAAATTTAAATGTCTCGAATACATTTTCCGATATTCTAAATAACACAGTTTTTGATTATTGTACAGATAAACTATTATATAATAGATATCAAGAATGATGTTCTGATTTTTCACAATTCTCCTATGAGCAAAACAAAACAAAATCATGAACTGGTTAAGTTCTAGCCTTCACAAATAATCAAAATCAGTCTTCCATGAGTGCATCAAGATACATAATAGATCGTTCAGATCAGTTTTAGATATAATTAATGTGTACAACAGACTTATTTGTCCAATAAATTAATGGTTAGATAAATAATAATAAATTATGCAAAGAAAATAAATCCTATGTGAATAGCAACACGACAAATAAAGAACCGAGTATTAATTAAAAAATAGAAGACAAAATGTTTGTTCAACATGTAGAAATACAAAAGACAAAGTGTTTGTTGACAAACAATTATCGTTGGAAAAGAACTATCGTCTTTTAGAGATTATACATTTTGTGTATTTTGTATTAGTATAATAAAGCTAAAGAAGATATCTGCGTTCCAGGTTTTAATCCATGCTAACAAGCTTTTTGAATAGTTTTTGGACTCTATGACTCAATAAATGATCAGTACAACATTAAAACAAATCTTCGAAATACGATATCATTGGATGCTTAATCATGCAATAAATAATAATAAATGCTGACAAAATGGCTTCAAATCAATTATCTTATTATTGAGCTGACTACAATCAGATCTTTTTTTTTTTTTTTACATAGAAAAAGTATTGACAAGGAAAATTGTAAATATCGAAAATCGAGTACTTATTTTTATGTCACGGCGATAGCAACTGAAAATCTTTAATGTTTTTTGCTGTTAGTGGATTAGCTATAAGAACTATAAAATTTTCTTGTTTTTTATCATCACATAACCTAACCAATGCTATGAACCTCAAATGTAATTATGTTCTGTCTACGTATGTATTTTTGCTGATGTCTATTAATCTTTTTTTTTTCCATCGTTCATGCACGAAAATACAACTAAAAATAATTATATCAACCAATCAAGTGTTATTCCTCTGCTCTCTTGTAATCTCATCAATTGATAATAATAAAGATTTGCCTATTTTTTCTTTCATTGAGCACAAAAACACGATTATACTTGGTCATTTAAAAACTTGATGTGCAGCGACAAGAAAGATAAAATGGTATTTAGCATAGTAAGATAGGTAACTAATGAAGTCAGCAGTAGTGTCTTGAAGCAGTCAGTATTCGGTGATATCACATTTTTTTGTAAAGGAAAAATACTTTTCATCTAGCAGAATGCAAAAAGAGAATTTTAGCTCCGCTGAAAAAAAATAAAAATTTTTCAACGATCGAACGGATGTTACATCCCTCCTCGATTGAGACTCAAAGCACAGAAGAAAAACAAATTCATTCAAACAATAAATTGGATATTGTTTTTCTGTACATGGTTTTATTGTATGTAAAGTTTCAATTGAAAGTAATCAACGAGATTTTCTAAGATCATATGAAAATTTTCGATCAAAACAAGTGCCATAGACTTTGTGGGACGTTCAAAAAGTATCATTTGCATTTCCAAAAACGCATTGTTCAATAGAGCAGAACAT